TTCAAAATTATGAATTGTAAATTTCATGGCCTCTTGTTTAAAACACGAACCAGTTATTTGTTTGAAAGTTGTTACACGATACTCAGGTGACCTATAAGGCCCGTGGGCCTCTTGTTTATTTATACAGTCATGGCTACATGTAACTCAAAACAATCGGCGTTAAATTGAAACGTTATACAAGACTTAATTGATTGAACACCACTTCAAGACTTTGAAACTTGTCTTACTGTTAAACATTACCATGATTACCAAAAGACCAAGGGCATGCTTACGTTGAAAAACAGCAAAAAAATTACTATCTACTCAAACTTGTGGCATTAACCGCAAATATATGTTACATGCTGCGTTTTCTTTGATAATCATATCATGGGTATTTGAAATTGGTCTTATATGTTTATTATAAAAATGGGTTAAATATCAACTTATATGTTTCATGTTCGGAAGATCGTGCATCAGCAATCTCCATTTTGTTGCTATTTTTACACTAAGATCATGCGTCTCGTACGAAGATGACTTACCCATTCTCTGCCTCTGTTACATCAGCCCACGCCTTTTCCTTGGTTGCTTTCCCCCCAAACCCACCCTTAAGGACATACGAGACCTTCCTCAATTACAGATAAATTTCCATAAAATTTCATGCTTGATCTATTTGCATATAAACCTGTTTATGCCCCAAAAATTAGGATATGTCACCAGGCTATTTATAGAGTTAGAATAAATTGGATAATCCTCATTATAACATGCAAAAATAAGTATTGAATGCTATTTATAAAGTCAAAGTAGATATTTTCCATTGAAACTGTATATCCAGATGGTAAAGTATGATAAAAACTGAAATTTATTTTTTGAAAGCCATGTTTCCAGCCTATGAATAAATTTTCTAATGATAATGATATTTTTTATCATTGTAACTGATTGAGTTATCTCCCTTTGATATGAAAAAGAAATGAGAAACAAATGCAGTGGAATAGAAAGTGTATTTACATCATCATGATATCACAGATAATTGTTCAAATTAGAAACGTAGTCATTACATGTATATTCATATAACAATAGTCATTACATGTATATTAATACAACAAGTGGTCAGTTACCTTTCATAAAATACTGATGTAATGACTTGATGATTTTACCATTGGATGTCACTCTGACCTTACCCATGTTTTTCTCTGACAAAATAGACTTTATACCATTCACAGGATCTCTGTGATGAGCAATGCAAAGATAGTCATAGTGAAGACCAGAAGCTGCAATTTTGTTAGGTGTAAATTTAGATAAAATATTTCATCTACAAGATGTTTCAATGAAGAAGCATTTCTACTCAATAAAATAGCATATTTGTCATTCTCAATATCAAAATCTACACTAAAGCTGTGTTTCAGCATTATGGCTCTAGAAATATCAAGGTGAAGCACAAGTCGCTGTAGAGCTTGGGAATCTGCTAAAGCGTCATGGGCGTCATAATGTGCTGTGCATAAATCTTTCATAAGATCCACTTGTTTGTAAGACTTTCTGTTGGGAACTAAATAGAGGTAGTGTGTCTACAAACCCAATAATGAAGTCACTGGCTCTTAGTCCCACTTGATGCATTGCACGGATTATAACATTCGAGTCGAATTTTGCATTGTGAGCAACTAACACTATGTTGGAAAATTTTTTCAACCATGTAATAATTGTTTCTATACCATCCTTCGCATTCTTACATGGCACCTGTACTCCATTCTTGAACAAAATATTCTCCTTCACAGCAATACCCGATACAGCAGTGCAGAGGGTGAAATGGGCTGTGTAGATGGAAGGGTATACTGTGAAAACGATTTCTCAGAGGCATATGTACCAATCTGGGTGACTTCACAATATTTACGTATAAAATCATAAGGAAAAAGGAATTATAAATCAATATGTCACAAACAGACAACATACACTTTTACATTACAAAGAACGAGGGCGCTTTTGATTGGCATTCGGCAGGAATCTGGGCGTAAATGAAAAGTGGAAATTTTATCGACTTGTCACATGAAATTTTAACATTTTTTTATTTATCGGGTTCCTGTGCAACAGGAAGGGGGAATATTTTCCCGAAATTGAGCTTTGATTTGCTAAAAAATAACTTGAAAATTGGCCAGATCAGACATTTGGTACAAGATGGTACATTGTTAAACATGTTTTTCTAAAAATTTCCTATGTCTGGGTCTTCTCTCCATGATTTTGAAACGTAATTTTTGTATCTTAATTCCATGAAACGAATACACTTTTTTAAACAATGGAGAGAAGACCCAGAGACCACGAAAATGAACTTTTCCCAAAAATTCCAAAAGTGTGAATGTGGTGCTTCTTTGTCTTTTTAAAATCAGTTATATGTGTGTAGCTGTGATAGCTCAGTAAGTTGGACTGCCAGGTCAGTGCACTCGTAGTGAAAGGTTTTTTGGTTCGAGCCTGGCATGGGGTGTTAATTTACAACCATTTATTTTGTCAGTTTCGTTTTATGTACTGATGTATTAAAATTTTGTATTAGATACATTTTAGTTCAGCTTGGTTCTCGAGCGAAATCAATTCTAATCTTCTATTCTATAATGTATATGTACACGTATCATGTATCTATGCATTTAATATTTTAGGTGTTTATTTTTAGCTCTACTGGTCAGAGACTAGAAGAGCTTATGCGATAGTAATGCGTCCGTCGTCCGTCCGTCTGTCAGTCTGTCTGTAAACAATTTTTCAAAATGCTACTCCTCCTACAGTTTTGGTCCGATTTCAATATAACTTGGCACACAAGTAGACTACACTAAGATACATAATTTTGTGCATTGGTTTTTGATTTCGATGAACGGTGTTGCTGTGGTTACTAAAAATAGAAATTTCTGTGAAATTCTTTCAAAATGCTACTCCTCCTACAGTTTTGGTCTGATTTCAATATAACTTGGCACTGTTTGATTTGCTAAAAAATAACTTGAAAATTGGCCAGATCAGACATTTGGTACAAGATGGTACATTGTTAAACATGTTTTTCTAAAAATTTCCTATGTCTGGGTCTTCTCTCCATGATTTTGAAACGTAATTTTTGTATCTTAATTCCATGAAACGAATACACTTTTTTAAACAATGGAGAGAAGACCCAGAGACCACGAAAATGAACTTTTCCCAAAAATTCCAAAAGTGTGAATGTGGTGCTTCTTTGTCTTTTTAAAATCAGTTATATGTGTGTAGCTGTGATAGCTCAGTAAGTTGGACTGCCAGGTCAGTGCACTCGTAGTGAAAGGTTTTTTGGTTCGAGCCTGGCATGGGGTGTTAATTTACAACCATTTATTTTGTCAGTTTCGTTTTATGTACTGATGTATTAAAATTTTGTATTAGATACATTTTAGTTCAGCTTGGTTCTCGAGCGAAATCAATTCTAATCTTCTATTCTATAATGTATATGTACACGTATCATGTATCTATGCATTTAATATTTTAGGTGTTTATTTTTAGCTCTACTGGTCAGAGACTAGAAGAGCTTATGCGATAGTAATGCGTCCGTCGTCCGTCCGTCTGTCAGTCTGTCTGTAAACAATTTTTCAAAATGCTACTCCTCCTACAGTTTTGGTCCGATTTCAATATAACTTGGCACACAAGTAGACTACACTAAGATACATAATTTTGTGCATTGGTTTTTGATTTCGATGAACGGTGTTGCTGTGGTTACTAAAAATAGAAATTTCTGTGAAATTCTTTCAAAATGCTACTCCTCCTACAGTTTTGGTCTGATTTCAATATAACTTGGCACAAAAGTAGACTACACTAAGATACACAATTCTGTGCATCGGTTTTTGATTTCGATGAACGGTGTTGCCGTGGTTACTAAAAATAGAAATTTCTTTGAAATTCTTTCAAAATGCTACTCCTCCTACAGTTTTGGTCCAATTTCAATATTACTTGGCACACAAGTAGACTACACTAAAATACATAATTCTTTGCATCGGTTTTTGATTTCGATGAACGGTGTTGCCGTGGTTACTAAAAATAGAAATTTCTTTGAAATTCTTTCAAAATGCTACTCCTCCTACAGATTTAGTCCGATTTCAGTATAACTTGGCGCACAAGTAAACTACACTAAGATACATAATTCTGTGCATCGGTTTTTGATTTCGATAAACGGTGTTGCCGTGGTTACTAAAAATAGAAATTTCTTTGAAATTCTTTCAAAATGCTACTCCTCCTACAGTTTTGGTCTGATTTTGATATAACTTGGCATACAAGTAGACTACACTAAGATACATAATTCTGTGCATCGGTTTTTGATTTCAATGAACAATGTTGCCATGGTTACTAAAAATAGAAATTTCTGTGAAATTCTTTCAAAATGCTACTCCTCCTGCAGTTTTGGTTTGATTTCAGTATAACTTGGCACACAAGTAGACTATACTAAGATACATAATTCTGTGCATTGGTTTTTATTTTGATGAGTGGCAAGGATCATTTTTCTATTTATTGCTGATTTAAAGTCTCAAGTCCCAACTGCTACTTTTCTCTTCCTTTGTTTTAAGTATAAACCAGTAGAGCTACAGTCTCGACAGAGACTTCTGGTTTGTGAAACATTACCATGTTAAAGTACCCCCTAGGAAAAACGGACATAATTGTTACAATTTCACAATGTCTTTCACACTAAATGAAAAAAACCCTATGAACGTGTCTGTAAAATGTGCCCAGCTATGTTCAACCAACCAAATCATAGACATTAAAACCATAAATGTTTGGTATGAATGATTCCTGTAGATCCCTCGCCAAATGCGCCCATCTTCTTTATAATTCTGGACGAAATGAAGCAGTGGCATAATTATTATGAAAATAATACTTTAGTTCCATGCATTACTTCTGTAGTCAATATATGAACACTCACCAAGACCTGTAGTTTACAAATCAAAATAAACAAATGTGCACTGGTCATGGACAATAGGAGTAGACTGGGGTTTTCTCAGAGGTGGTGGTATCTCTGTAATGTATGTCTCCTTCATTGTTGTTTAGATCAACAAATGTTTTGTATGTTGTTCCCTCCCTAATCTCTGATGACTCTTTTGACTTCTGGGAATTATTTTTTTCATTCGCCTGTTCTTCTTGTAAGCTGGTGTATCTTCTCTTTCCTTGTCTCGTTTCCTTTTCAAGTCTGCTTTCTTTGCACTGGAACTAGTGACTTTTCCAGGAGAAAGAAGCAACTTCTCATTTACCTGTAATGAAAGAGGGTATGTCCTAAATGATATCTTCTTTACATGGAAATACACGTGTTTATTGTATTGTCTTGTAGTAATGAAATATACAAATTACTATACTACATGTATATACCTGTATTACATATTGATGTCCTAAATTTTTCTGTGCCACAGCAGCAGCAATACGAAAGTCATTACTCTCGGATCCAGAGTAGAAAGTAGACTTTGGTGTTTTACTTGCAAACTATATTGTTGAAACTCTCATTTGCCTGTGTACTTCCTAAGTTGATTAATTTTTCAGCCTGTGAAATGTAGAATCCAAAGAGAGATAACAGATCAGATTTCAAGTGCTGGTTAGATAGGTAACGATGATACGGAAGTTGCTGTGGTTTGTAGGTTTCAGGTGAAGAGAGAAATCCACACCAGGTATCACATAGGCTGTGGTCTCCATAGACATGTGGTGTTATGGCCTCCAGATTTTTCTTTAGACTGCGCAAATCCTCTTGATTTTGACTGATGCAGTATTTGAAACACTTGCTGATATGATTTATGGTTTTGGTATTTAGTTCTTTGTAGTTCTTGCTCTTCTTCAAGTCATATAATTTATTAGTAAATTGTTTCATTGTATGGTTTTTATCACTGTTTCTTTAGGGCTGGATTTACCTCCAGGCGTGCTCTTGCAACAGTTGTTGAATAATTTTCCATGATAACAGTGCTGACATTCACATCATTTTGGCCAAGTTCTTGCAACATCTGTATGCACATATCTGTTTCCATGGCTTTGCACTTTTGGACCAGTTCTTTCGACAGTCATGGATGGGTAGATCCTTTCGGGAGTTTTCAGAGTTGTCGCATACTCTACAATAGCTGTTGCGAGTTGCAAAATTAACAATTTTCCCCGTTTTATTTCCGATCATTGCAGCATGACCTGCAGAATTTATAATGTATAAATTATATAAAAAAAAAAAATACATGAAATAAAAGAGTAATATCACAACTAAATTACTTTCTGAAGATAAAATGTACTGTCTTACATTTTAGGCTGTTCAAACTTAATTCTACGTTTAACGTCACCTCCAAAGTTCAAAACCTACGAGGGAGGGAGGAAAAAAATAAACAAAAATTTCAAACAATTGTGAATTTATTCAAATAAACCTATTCAGTACATTAAAAAACACTACAACTGAGTAATAAGAGTATTGGATATGACACCTAAGTTTAATTTTCCTGGCAGTTTCGAATAAAGTACCGGTCAAAAAATAGAGAAACCCGAGGTTTGAATGCATATTATAGGTAATTCTATGGCTAGAATATTTTATGGGTGCATTTGGAGGGAATTGGTGGCCTTGTACATTTTATTGAAATATGACACTCTAGTGTCACTACTACTGTATATGGGATATGGACTAGAAATACGAAACTAAGCTCAAAACTCGCTCTACCGGCATTTCACCAGAAAAGCGGGGTGGGTTCACAGGATGAATTGTAGCTTGAAAACGAGGTGGTTGAGCCATTATCTCTTGCTGTTCATTGGTATGTACAAATGTTGTTCTGCAATTTGTGTGGTAGCTTAGGTCAGGCGCACGGGCCTGGAAGCAGATGCGGCTGCGGCGAAATAGTGAAAATAGGCTTGATTCACATGAAATTTTGAGATTGTCCCTGCGCCATCTTTAGGGCTCATTGTGTAAGTTGTACATGTTTTATTCCTAAAAGCTTCAAATTTCTCAAGGGACTACATCATACTATTATTACATGTACAGGGAATTTAAAATTTTTCAATGCACATTTTTAAAGCAGCTCAATATTAAGTAAACCGTCAGTCAAACGTTTTGATTGCAAAAAAAACTATCCTCTGCCACCTTCAAGAATGCATCAATTTTTAGAAATGTGAATTTTAGTCTGATTTTTATACAAAAGGGTTTATTTATGTAAGTCAATTTAAAAAAATACTTTGTTTCTGTTATTTAAAATCTGTACAGTTAGGTATATTCACTGAAAAGCAAGGGGGGTTACTCTTTTCCAGCATACATTTTTAAAGACTTTGAACCATCAGCATAATAAATCATATAAGATTCAGGCATTTTTTGCCAGAGAATAAATTAATTGTTTGAATTTGATACTTTGGGTATTGTCGCATAATTAAAATCATGTCTTGCTTTAATTAATTAAATCTAATTAAAATTTAAGTGTATTAATTAGTGCGATATCACTGAAATTACATATATTTGCCATTTTTTCAACCTAATTTACTAAATATAATTATTTTGAAAATAAAAATCAGTCAGCATACCTAAATGTCACTAAACCTAACCATATATAGTACAAAAAAACTTTTTTTGCTTTATTTTTCCAAATTTAACCTATTCTGTTATTATTATTTTCATGAAATATGCCCCCCCCCCCTTTTCTAATTTTTAATTTATCTACATTTAAATGTGACAGAATCTAAATTTTTCATTGGTTTGGTATAAAATGACTTTTTTTCTTTGAATAATAACAAAACAAAGAGTTTATATTGCATATTTAATGAAGTAATATCAATAAAATGGGCATTCTCATGTAATTATTGAATTCTGCTAGGCCCATATAATCTGCCCACAATTGCCCAGGATGGACAGAATAATCACTTTTAGTATTCAGGAGAATGAAATGTATGTATTTGATTACTCATAACTGTTAAAAGTGAATATCAGACACTTAGAAAGAATTCAGCTAGGACAAACAAATTTTTACAGTGCATTTTCATTACACTGAAGAAATGGCTGCAGGGGTAGGGAGTTGAACAGCCATTTCCTGGACACTTTTTCTTTAGCATATGATGCAAGAGGGTTTTTTGCATATCATGATAAATATCTTGAAAGTTTAAAGGGGTTTTAACTTTGCAAAGAAGTTATAGGTATATAAAACCAAGTGAAAAAGAGATAAAATTGAATTTCATAGAACATGAAAAATAGGGGAGTATGTGATACATGTGAGTACATTTCACCAAGATGTGCCCTTTATATTTGACTTTTTACATATAAATGTATTTGAAATAGATTAAAATTACCATTTAACACTTTTTTGCTGGTATATTTATCAATTGGAGTTGTAAGAATTGCATTTGTTTTATGTGTAAGAAACAATATGGGGTTAAGGTGGTTGACCGAGAATTGGTGAGGTCTCTTATTTGGCCATAACTTTTTTATTTTTCAATGAAACAAGACATATTTGGTATATTTTTACTCAGAATTGCATGTTCTTTTTGAATTGAGCAAGGTTTATTACTTGCAAGACAAACTTTGAAAGTTAAAGGTGGCAGAGGATAGTTTCGAATAAAGTACCGGTCAAAAAATAGAAAAAATAGAGAAACCCGAGGTTTGAATGCATATTATAGGTAATTCTATGGCTAGAATATTTTATGGGTGCATTTGGAGGGAATTGGTGGCCTTGTATATTTTATTGAAATATGACACTCTAGTGTCACTACTACTGTATATGGGATATGGACTAGAAATACGAAACTAAGCTCAAAACTCGCTCTACCGGTATTTCACCAGAAAAGCGGGATGGGTTCACAGGATGAATTGTAGCTTGAAAACGAGGTGGTTGAACCATTATCTCTTGCTGTTCATTGGTATGTAAAAAATGTTATTCTGCAATTTGTGTGGTAGCTAAGGTCAGGCGCACGGGGCTGGAAGCGAAATAGTGAAAATAGGCTTGATTCACATGAAATTTTGAGATTGTCCCTGCGCCATCTTTAGGGCTCATTGTGTAAGTTGTACATGTTTTATTCCTAAAAGCTTCAAATTTCTCAAGGGACTACATCATACTATTATTACATGTAGAGGGAATTTAAAATTTTTCAATGCACATTTTTAAAGCAGCTCAATATTAAGTAAACCGTCAGTCAAACGTTTTGATTGCAAAAAAAACTATCCTCTGCCACCCAATCTTAAAAAAATGACAAAACGAACAGCAAAATCAGCAGTAATTAATTCTTAATAACATGGTATTTTTTATAGCAATAAATAGAAAGGTCTCTTTAATTTCATTATAAATAAAATTTGATTTTTATAGCTTGCAGGCCTTACAATTTGTTACTCTTCTTTTCCCCTTTCTTGTTTGAAGAAGGGAATCAGCCGAGGTTTGCCAAAAGCTCTCGGCCAGTCAAAGTTTACGGAGATGACCGAGCGACAACCGTGGTAGGGCTAATGCCAGTAAAAAGCTAATGTAGAAATACAAAATTCAAAAGAATTTTACGGCCTGATAGGTGTAGATCAGTTTACAGTTTAAGATTGTTGCTATAGACGGTATGCTTTTTTAAAAAGCGCTACTTGTCAGTCTATTGAAGTTGGACTATGAAACAGTGGAAGATGTATTCAATTTTTATAAAAAAAAATATCCCTTATTATTTTACTAACATCCACTAAAGAGATAAAAATGTACTACATGCCAGAAATGCCACAAAGTGTTATATATTATACAGTTATGGACTTCAGTGAAAGTCGATATGTGGTTATAGGGACTCATGGCAATTGATATTGACTGAAGGCACAGACAGTGATATCGAAAGAGCAGGCGAGGTTGCTATCATTTTCTGTGTCTGAGGTCAATATCAATTGCCTTGAGTCCTTATAACCACAGTCATAAATTTGACCATTCACTGAAGTTCATAATAGTTATATCATATTATCACTCAAATTGAATGCACCGACACAGTCGGAACAATGGATTACGTACTACGCAACTTTAGCGCAACCACACAGCATGTTGTGTGATATTATTTTTTTTGCTGGAATGTTTAGAAAATAAATTATATACCTGACAAACTGGAATAGGATCAACCTGATCCTCTTTTCTGCCACCCGCCATCAAATGATACAGACAGCTCATTAGGTGTACTGTAAAACAACATAGTTCATTTTAGTGTACGAGGGCTGTTCGGAAATTATTGAGACAATTACATTTACTCCATAAAGGACGGAGATAATTTCATGAAAATTCATCAACATTTTATAAAGAACGAATTAAACAATTATGCAAAATTTCTAATTCCTATGATAATAAGAAAAGTTTCGGTGAAATGATAAACATGCATATGTCTATCGACCCGGAGCAGCATCGCTACGTCATTTAACGTCACGTCAGCCGGAGATGGATTCGCAAATACAACGATCGCGAAGCGTTTAATGCATTTCCTTCTTTGTTTTTACATATAACTTTACAAAAATCAAACAGTCTCTTTTCTCAACATATTCTTTAAAAATATATGGCGTTGCTACCCCAGTGTAAAATGTTCATTTGTGGGAAAGGATGACTTAGAATCATGCAGTGCCGATTTATGCAACGCAGGTCAACGATATAAATACCGTAACGATATTAATATCGTCGTATGTAATAACTGATGGTTGTCCGGTGCTTTTGACTTCACTCCGGTTGAATTAATTGTAAAAAAAAAATGTATATCAATGAAAAAAAAAACACGTTATTTTTTCTCGTTGTTATTGTTTTAGCAGGTCGTCCTGTCTGGAAAAGAGTTCTACATTGCGATACACAAAATTTTAGGTATGCTAGCTGCTCCGCCCTTGACGTCAAAATCCATTTTTTCGTTCTTTGCAGATTTCTCTACAGCGCTTAATTTTTTTTATTATCTCCGTATTTGTGATCAAAATTCTAACAAAGTTGCACAACATGAATTTGAAATAAAACTGAAAAATCATACACATAAACTGAATTATTTTCGCTCTTATTATGGGTCCACGAAGAGTTAGAACGTTGGTGTTACATATTTTCAATATCTGATTTCGTGACTGCTCCGGGTACCCCTACTAATGACGCATTTATGTAGCATTGTACAGAAAATATTTATTATTTGTAACATATTTTTTGCTTTTATTAATTCTAAATGTTTGTCAAACGTATATGCAAAATTTCACCGAAAGACGTTCATTAGAAAGCAAAATACACACAATGTCTCAATAATTTTCGAACAACCCTTGTATGTAACCTTGATTTCCCTATTTATATTATAAGCATTGCAAATATTATTTTAAAAAATGATTGATAAAAATACCTGTCAGAGTACGCAGGTTAAAAAATGTTCAATATATTTCTGTTACTACAAAAGTAATTTGGTACCTTGATGATTCCTTCTCGGCCGCAGCCATATCGTCACAACTCTTTTTGGCCACATCTTCTAATGCCTTTCTTACTTCCCTTTCTGTTTTCTTTAAGGTTTTGTGGCACATAGATGGAATATTAAGTACACTAAATAGCATTGATACTTTCTTCTCGCCAATGTCTGTATGAAGCATACCTATAAAATATAAACAATTTTATATACTGTTCTTTTTACAACATAATAACATTTAAATTTTTGTAATTTAAAATATATCTGGTGGTTCAGCTAGTACACCATTCAAATATCATATAAAAATGTCTTTAGAATAAAACTGCACTACATTTTTGTTTGTAGTACATGTACATATAAAATTTAATTATCTATATACAATGCCTACCAAGAGCCAGTTTTGATTGATTGATTGATATTGTTTAACGCCGAGTCGGCAATTTCTCAGCCATATTTCGGCGGATGAGCCAGTTTTGTGTTGTGTTGACATCAAATGCTCTTGATGGATGGTCACTGTCTAGACGTGAGTGTCTCTTTCCTGTTGGAACTGATACCACCATATCACAATTCACACACTTTATTTGTAACATTGATGCCAGTCCATATCTGATCTCACCACAAATATTTGTGAAGTTCAAAGGATGTCTACAGAATTCACAACATTCAAGCAGCTTCTCAATGATGTACTGAATTTCAATAATCCTTCTCCCTTCGTTCCACTTTATCGTTACATCATCACCAGTGTCTTCACAGCCTATCACGATTTCTTCTTCTTCAATGTTTGATGGCACTGACATACAATAATCATGCTTATTAGGTACATATTCTGGCAAATCGATGGAGTGTGAAGTCTCTGACAGAACAAGACCTGCATCATCATGACCTTTTAATAAATCAAATGCACTGTTGTACCACAGGAGTTCGCGTACCTATCAATTTTGCCGAGATTTTCGGTAAATAAAAAAGATATGTAATACCTATAATAATTACACAAGGAGTGCCACCGTTGTCCGCGACGCCATGACGTGACGTCACGGGCGGTCCATTCACCCAAAAGGAACAAAAAAAACAATCGTACACAATTAACTAGAGATAACCATATTACGTTTAGATACGAGTACAAGTACCTGTACCTCCCCGTTTTAAATTTTCTTGAATGTCTACTAACTTGTCTCTGGTTTCTTTTCGCATATGACCTCAATCATCTAGATTAGCCTTTCAGGCAGTTTTGTTCCTTTTTGGGTAAATGGACGCGCCCGTGACGTCACGTTATGGCGTCGCGGACAACGGATATTTGAGCGAAGTTGTTGAAAACTGTCTCCGCTGCTGCTGTAAAACATGCGTTTGAAATCATATGCATTAAGAGCCATAAAGAATGGTCCCTTCCAAAAAGATTGGTTTGTGTTTTATAATTTTCGATTGAAGATTAATTGTGCGAGAGCCTTGATATTAAGCGAGGGGTTCCCAGGTGACCTAAAATGCGTTGCACTCCTTGTAATATTATTATACGTATTACGTGTTTTTTTTTATTTAATGAAAATTTCGGTATAATTGATAGGTACGCGAACTCCTGTGGTTGTACAATAATATGCAGGATATACATGTACATGAAGGCGTTTATACGTCCGTATGAACCATATATGAAAGAGAATCGAAAACAAGAAATCATCATCAAAACTTTACTCACTTGGCTACAGAAGTATCTCTCCTTGGTTTTTCCGCTGTTTGTTTACTTCTAATGCTCGTATCCTTCTCAACTTTCCTTCGGATATGAATTTCCCACCTTTCCCGCGAACTTGTTCCTCCATATTGTAAACAAAGTAATAAAATTACCTCCAATTACAAAAAAACGCATAAAGGGACAAAATAATTTCTTAACATTCAAACCAATTCTGGAAATATTCCGGGATTTCGTGGTGGAAATCTTCACATTGCGGAGATAGAAAAATCTTTGGAAATAATGGAAGATACGTCGCGTCTGACCTTAAATTTCCAAAGTAGAATATCTTCCAGTGCATAAACTTCTTCAACGAGAATCATTTTCTCAAGTCCCGTCCTAATTGTTTTTTTTTTTAATAGCGAGGCGGGTGCGGATCCACTTGCGCAGTTATCATTGGAATTAGCGATTTCCATTGCTAAATCGTAATCTGATGCCATGTTTGATGCTATTGCAGACGGTCTCTACATGTGACGTCATTGATTGTTACGATATCAATATGTAAATTTACATGCTCTTTTATATTTTGTAATTATACTGAAGAAAACTAAATAGGGAAGTAGAATTTTCGTGTTTAAGGCCAGCCAGCATTTTTTTATTTTGAGGTTTACAAATCCGCCGCTCAAGTTTTTGAATTTTCAGAAAAAAAATAAAATTGACAAAAACAGAATTTTTTCTTTCCGATGTCAAATTTGAGTCGGGATCGAGATTTCAAATTTACGAACTCGTACTTCCGGTTTTAAATGAACATGGCGGGTAATGAAGGGAGATTTGTGTCAAGTTCATAGCAGCACTAAAGCTAGCTTTAGTGTAAAAATTATCGATAAGAGTGACATTCAAAACGTTTCACCCGTTCAGAGAACAATAAAATGCTGACGACTTTGTTGCAAAGTGACATGGTGGTGAGATAATTATGCATCCGTATTCAAAAGGAACTGTCTGTAATTAGAAAATTATTTTCCTCCCACAGGTTTAAAACTGCCCATAGTAGCTATTGTCAGAGACATTGTTTAGGTTTCTGTCATAGCTTACAGTCTTAGCATCATTCTTCAGAAAAGGGTCGCTTATGCATCAGATGTAATGAATAAAACTATGGGAGAAGTTAAGTCCATTTGAGGAAGAAATAAACAATAGCCTTAAGAAATAAAATATTTCAACTATTTAAAAACAAGAATATACAAATATATACAGGCGTGTAGTATCGTTTATGGTAGCCAGAAAAATTATGTTACACTTAATTGAAAAAAATTCCACCCTACTCCTCAATACTCCTTGGGAATACTCCCTGTCTGTTTTATGAAAGGAATTATTACTTTTATAGGTCTCGAGTATATTAATACTTTAGAATAATTTCTACCTAACACACATTAAAAACAAAAATGAAGGTATACTAAAAGAGATTTTAAAAATTGATTTTTAAAAAAATATGTATTTTGTCCAACATCAAAAGATATATATCACTGCAGCAGACTGGTAGATGATGAAATAAACAATTAAAGGTATTTTCCCCTTTGTAACCCTTATGTGTCCTGTGGCAAGAAGCCTGTTAGGAGAGCATAAAAAAAGAAGCAAAAATTAATGTAGAAAAGTCGATAATGTATCCAAAATATAATTTTATTTTTTTTTTTATTTCCTCCTCCTACGGGACTTTTTCATTCTGATGTTCGTAAACCTAAAAATAAAAAAAATGCTGGCCCCACTTACAACGTTGAAAACAATCTGGGATAGTTCTCAAATCTCAGCTCACGTGAGACCAATCTTAGAAATGTTGGTTGCATTTTTTTTTATTTGAAAATCTCAAGTGAGGCAGAATTTTTAGATTTGAGGCTGAGATTTCAATGAGATATCAATTTCACGAAGTAAAGGTACACAGAGATTCATGGACCTAAATCCCCAGAATAAAGAAGGTGACACTGAATGGGTTTACATTGCTCAAAAAAGAGAGCTACTTTCTACCACTGCCAACCAGAATGCATATTAAAGCGACATCCACATTTTACAATTGACAAAATCAAGATACCCGAAAAAGGCAGAAACAAATTGAAACCATGCCATTTGAAAATGCTTCAGTCTTATTTTAAAATAAATTTGTAAGTTGTAATCAGCATGTGCAAATTCCTGAACTACGAATCTAGTCAATCAACATAATGTAAACATATAGGACAATTCTCTGTCATCCTCGGACTGCCAGTTAGGTATGGCATCCTCGACGCTACGTAATATATGTCTCTCATATGGCGAAAGATTCTCATTGTTAAGAATTAAGGAGGCTGGGGGTCAACAAATTAACCACCAGATTTAATTTATTTTTTAGATACGGTATCTTAATCTGTCAACTATCCTTTGGCAAAGAAAAAATTCATACATTTTAGTTTTGAAATTTGATCATTTTTGTATATCTTTATATGGAGCTCTTCTTTTAAAGGAGATCGAAATAGTCTGAAAATAGCTGCCACCACCCAGCCTCTTTAATAACAGCATTAATTGTTGTTGACAACGATGAGACGACTAGCCGGACCTCATTGTCGTATGAAACGCTATCATTGGATCCTTGCTCTCTTTCTCATGTATATTTCAACAGTCAATGAAAAGACTGTAAATTTCAGCTGCTAATTATTAATCCAAGGATAACAGAATTGTTCTGTTTTGCTCAAAACAGAAATTAATGCGTTGATAATTTTTTTTCTTTGATGATAAGATTTTTGTGTTTTTTGTGATACAATGTTTGGTTTGTCATAAATAAAAAGAGAAAGTTTCACAGCTCCGACATCATTATTTAACTACCTGAGGTTTCTTTTATTCATGGCCACAAATTAATACACTGGTTTTTTCAATTTTTATCAGCTAGCATCAATTTTTGTTCAGACAGCTAATGGCTCAGTATTTCGTTCACACGTACAGGTCATCATAAAACTTGACGATATGCTTCTTCTTTTAACGACCATCAATATCTATCTTAATTATGTTCCCCAAACGAAGTTGGGGAACATATTGTTTTTACTCTGTTTCTTATTAAGGTGTTCCGTCTTCAAACGGAAGTTGGGGAACTTATATTGTTTCTATTGTTTCTTATTATTAAGGTCTTCCGTCTTCACGGAAGACCTTATAGTGATTCTACTGTTTCTTATTATTATTATTATTATTCTTTTTATTATTTTTTTGACTTTCTAATTTTGTGCACGCGATTTCTCGACGACTACTGGATGGAATGACATGAAATTTTCAGAAAAGATGTGTCGTAACATGAATTTTGTATATCCGAGAGAAAATTTGGAAACTCACTTCCGATGCCAAGTTACGGACAATTTCCTGAAATTAAAATGACATTTTGTCCGCGATTAAACTCAAAATCGGTAAAAGATATCAACATGAAACTTTCAGGGATTATAGATCGTGATATATACCATCCAGGACGCGACACTTTATTCGTCGTCGGTACTTCCTGTCGTTAGGAGAAGCGAATTGAAAAAATCGTATTTTCTAACTTTTTTGTTTTTCAATAATTTTTATTGATTTCTGGAATGATAATAGAGACCCTTTGATAGATGCTTACTATATAAAGTGTTTGGATATTGGTTAATCAGAACTCTTGATATTAATATTTGAAAATCTGAAGCGGACCCAAGATGGCGGCTGTCTCTGTCAACTCCGCCATTTCGCGAGTAGGGGTTTATGGAGGCAGCTGAGCGTTTGACTAAATGATACATGAAAAGTAAAAAAACTACGTGGACTTTCACGTAGTAGTACGCTGCAATTCAGTTTCAATCTTAAAGCTTAATTTCCGTTTCACTGCTTTAGTGTAACTGGGCTAGATACGTGTGTACAATGTGTTAAATATACTTTCTTAAAGTCGAAATAAAATATAGGCGATAAGAAGTTGTTTTATTTAATATTTAATTTCATTGAAGTTATCACACCTATTTGATAGATCAGTCCAAAGGAAAGGCACGAATATTTACTCGTGCTGTTTGGCGCCAGATTATGAATAGGTACATTTCATGCAGTAACCGTCAGCCACAATAAACAGAGCGTCATGGCTGAAATGATGACCATCTGACGTCACTGAGATTTTGAAGCCCTGGGCAGCCGTTCCTTAAAACAAGAAATATATTGAAAATCCATTATAGCACAAATTCATTGTCTCGAACCCCGATATCTCGAATACAATAGATAGCTCTAGTCAATTAGAAATTTCCATTTTTAAAATGTATTATTTACTCTGTTTATTTCTGTGTCACATCGCGTTATTAGAAAGTTCTGGTGAAAATTTAACATCAAAGAAAACGACAAATGCACCTCACCTGGATTTAATTTGTACATTCGATTTACCGAAAATTACCTTTCATAACAGTACTCTCCGGAATGGGACATTGCACTTCTAAGAAACTGAGGAATTCTCCTTTAGAGGTTACTACAGGACCAGACTCGACAGGCGTTCCATCTGACAGCTTAAGATAGAAAATAGAATACCATGGGTCGTCTTCCAACTTTTTGGAAAACACACTCATTTTTCTTTCTATCAATTTGGACTAGTATATCATCAATTTTTCTAATACAAATTAAAATCCAAATATTTCATTATTTACTGAAACATTTTTTTTTTGTAAAACTTGACAAAGATTCCTGTGTAATAGAATCCTTCCATTTAAATATGCTACTTGCAGTAAGGGGTGTTATTCTACAGGCTAGATATGACGACTCCAGAATATTGTCCACAATAACATTGGCTTGCCTACATGGACGTCTTCTAATGTCACACTGTCCATCTCTGTAACATTGATACAAACTCCGTGGTTCAGTTCTAGTGAATATATAATCGCTTTTTTTCTTAGCAAATCTTTAAGAGGTAAGTACTTACCCCCTCACTCTATGAATAGTTGGCGTCGATCCAATTTTAACGGAACAATCGGCTGATGTGTAGCCATGGTTACAATGACACGTGTCTCCGACACATCTTCCGTTCTTTGAGCACTGATTTGGACAAGTTAAGATAGAGGGATTAACTACTGGGTCACCGTTAATGTACTGGATGTTTCTGGGGTCCTTTGCAAGTTCGTTGTAGCAAATGCTATCAAAAGCGTTCATGTGTGCCATCTCGAATGCCTCAATACTATCGGAATACTGAAATGGTTATTTGTATTAAAAATATATTTTTTCCATTTTTTTTATTAATTAATCTATTTGAAAATTTCAGAATAAAAAAGTAAAATTTTCGTAAAATGATTCTACCATTTGTTACCATATGATTCTACCAATTGTTACCATAAACATCAGTAAAACTTCATCATTATCATTAAATATGGTAAGCTATCTATTAAGAAGACCGATGTCCATTGATTGGTCTACCTTGATGTCCTCCACACATCCGTCCAACATATCAGTCAGAATGCTGGTGTGGTGACAGTGACTGTACAGGGAGGACGTAGTGATGGTGTGGGTACAGGAGGATCGGGCCTGTCCCTCCGTCATTCCACTGGGAGTGGGAAAGGCAGCAGCAGCATTTCTCCGTAACCTCTCTGTATCAGAACAATGTTTTCTTCTAGAGATACGACTATACAGAAGTACTGGATTTATCAATGCTTGTAGTAATTTTTTACGTAGTTAGCTTACTTGCTGTGACCCTCGGGTCAGCTGGTAAGTCGAGGTCTGGGTAGTGGTCAGTATAGGAGCGAGCGGAACGGCGTGGATGTTTATTCTTACCGCCGCTTATCACCGTGCCATCTTTAGGCTAAGATAAAATTAAAAGAATGAATTCACTATTGCTGTTACCAAAGCTTAAATTAGACTTTAACCAGAGAAAAACACTCAGCTTCACAAAGAGTCTATGTTACGTACTTTGCTTGGGTTGATCGCGCCTTTTCCCACTTTGGTACAATCCACGGCAGTCCCTGTTTTGCAAGAACAGTATTCAAACTTGGGAGCAAGATGTTTCTCGTATTTGGGGATTTGATAGAACATACTGGAGTGGCCTGGTAGCCTACAAATGTTACAAACATCTCAAATTCCTTCAATTCATTAAATGAAGAATCATCGAAAGGCACTTTCGATCCAATCTTTAAGAGTCAATAAAGAGTCAATGAAGCTTTTTTCTTTTAATATATCGCTTTTTTAAAAACATCTTGTTTGTTCTTGTAAAATAAAAAAAAAATACAAGGAAGAATTATGAGATGTTTCAGTAATGACATTGTGCAGCAAAGCTCCATCTTACATCCAGCTTTTAGAGAAGTTGGCCACTGTTGCTGGTTTATAAAGCCTTCCGTCCCCTCCCACGAAGTCGTCTCCATCGTCCCCGTTCCAATTCCCGCAGAGCCCCTCACTGGAACCAAAGTCATCCGGGGGACCCTGAATGTCCACGTTCATGAAGGGCAAATGTTCGTTACCATGCCGACCTTTTGATATAGCTGTTGTAACCTTTAGTCTGGCTCCGGAAGGAAAATTTATCTATTATAATGCAAATTAGACACATTGTTTAGACATTATTCACGGAGAGAGTTTTTAATTTAAACACAATGCTGAAATCGAGTACATTTTGATGGCTTTCCTACATCAGGGCAGTTTTAATAGTTAATACAACAATGTAAACTATATTACTGTATGTATACAAGTAAGCAAATATTAAAAAAAGCGACTGTCTGTTTTATGAAAGGGGTGCACAGGGTGAGAATGTTGAAAAGACAGAAAATTCTGAATCGTTCATATTTTTACAGGTTTGTGCTTCTAAAATATTGGACTTAATTACTTTATATAACTCTATGAAATTTTCTAAAACTGCAAATTTCCATGATTTTTTGTCAAAGTGTGATAGATTATGATCTAAGATCAATGTCTGTTTTTGAATTCGATGAACGAAGTTTTAATGGCTGGCAACATTACCTCTAAATAGACGAATGGAACATATCTAACATGGAACAGTTAGTTTTTTCTGTATACCGGCATTAGATTTTATATGAATGCAATGGGTTGCCATTGTCATTAAAAAAGGAAAGAATGATAAAGATTTAATCAAAATGAAAAACTTCGTCCCTCGATTCCTCATCCCAGACAAATGTATCGCCTATTTTTATATTCATATGAAGCAGAATTTGTGCAAAATCGTATGCATAAAAGAAGAAAACACTTGCAGTAGCCTTACGTATTGTCAATTAACAATGGTATTCCATTCCAATGTCGATACGATATATCCTGGTGAGCTTGAGATAAAAGATATACCACAGAGTCTGACACATCTGTTTCATACTTGGATATTTTACTTGAAAAAGACGTTAATGGTAATCTAACATTCAAGCTCTATGATAAACGTGATGACTGTATCTTTTCTATCGTCAACTTCCATTACTTATGCAGCATTATACCTTCATCATCTGTATACGCAGTTTATATATCTCAGTTGATTCGATACGCAAAAGCATGCTCCACGTATGAACATTTTCTTAAACGAGGTAAATTATTGACAAACAAGTTGATGAAATAAGAATATCAGCAGTCTCGTTTAAAGTAATCATTTCGTAAGTTCTATGGTAGATACGATGACCTTGTCAGCAAATACAGTTTATCGTTGAATCAAATGCTGACTGACGTTTTTCATACTAATTATTAGTCCATTATATATACACTGAATTGACGACCGAATTTTCCGTCATTTCCTTATCATGACAAGGAGCACACGGCGAATGTGACCGGTCTGCAGGGATGCTCACTCCTCCATGGCACCTGATCCCACCTCTGATGTTTTGGAGGTCCGTGGTTGCTGTGCTCCTGTGTAGTATTGTTTTATGGACTTTGATATTGCATACTGTTCGCTATCTCCATATCATGCTTTCCGCAACACCGAAATTAAGATCAAACTTCATATTTCTAGCATATTAATAAGTGTATGAAACTTTTTTTTATCCAATCTTTGAAAATACTGAAAATCGGATCAGAATATAAACAGGTATATAAACAAACAAAGATAAATGTACATACTTAGTTAAACGCATTACACCATACATCTAAATAAATCATAATACTTTTGCTCACATAAAATATTTTTCCGGTTTTATCCCTGCTGACAGTGGTTCCCTCCAGAGGGTGTCCGGAGGGATAAGACACTGATGGTGCCTCCACAACGCCTGCTCTCTTCTCACACATATCGATTTCGACAACATCGTTTCCTTCTCTTGCAACAACTGCACATGCGCAGGGATGATAGCTTCCACAGGGCCATGTTCTGACTTGAACCTAAAATGCAATTCTGTTGAAGGTTTCGTTTGGCAAAAGATTAATTCAATGCCAAATTAGTTTAGTTGAATAGTTCAAATCTTTACCTCAAATGGTCTCTTTTGGTTTTTAGATTTATACAGTACCATATCCCCAACTTCGTAAACGTTGTAGTTCCTTTGAACAAAGAGTTGTTAATTTGGTATTAGAATGATGTGTGAAATGAAATTCATCAAATGATGAAAATAAGACTTGCAATACAGAATATTGTTGTTTTACTTTTTATAATCAAATCCTCGGAAATGGGGATCTCCTGATAATATACAATGACCGTGATCTTTGTCTGTAGTTCCAATCTGTTGAAAAAGGAGTATATCTCCATAAATTTCGGAAAACTTTGTGAATGATGTATAATTGTGAATTCTGCAACGCTTTCAGTCAGTACACAACCTTTTTGTTTCGAGCGTATGTAATAATTTCGAGAAAAAAATATATGAAAATTTGTTCCAAGAAATTAAATGTCTTTAAAAGTTAAACGAAGAATTTAGTGGATATCTACAATATAGAGAATATTTGAATGAGATGTTTATTAACATTTTTCATTTACAATATCGTTAAAATATCTAATTCATATTTATAAAAATTTTCAAAACAACCATATCATCACTTTGTGACTTTACCTTAATAGGGTTTATTGTGTAATTGTTCCACATGGGATGCAGAAAATTGAGTATAGGCTTGAAAGCGATTTCTTGTACATGGTTATGATCTTTGATAAAATCTCTGGTGGCCTTGACTTTGAAAGACGTTGAGTAAACCCCCGTGGCATTATCAAGTTTGAGGTCAAAGTGACAACTAGAGAGAGAGGCATCTGGAAAGGAAAATAGAAAAAGAGTTATATTTCTCTCCAAATCACATTCAAGATCTACTTGTAAATTATCCAAAACATTATAAACTTTACCTCCTGGATTACGTAAACCCATGAATTGTATGGGTAGTTTGCATTCAGAAGCAAATAAGCTTTTACAAGGGATAGGTATGGTTGACTCGATCGTAACAGTTTTCTCGGGACCGCCTTCATCTACGTTAACTTGGTCAGTGGAAACCTATAACACATAATGCATGACTGGAAAATCTCGACCTCCTTTTCCCAAAACACTTTCTTCACATCATTAAAATTCACTTTTATCCACAATAAAAGTCCTTTAGGTACACTCATGAGTTTTACTCATTAAAAGTTGTTTACTTTGTTGCATGAATTTTTATATATACAGTATATATATATATACATAGTGTAGAGGAAAATTTCCTTCCAAAATGTCAACTTTAATTAGATTAACTGACAATCAAGTCGTAAGAGAAGAATGCGAATTGGGAATATTAAAACTATCTCTGGTTTACAGACAAACAATATGATAAATACTTATTAAGCATATTACTCTGATTCCTGCCCAGTATGGGTTACTACTGAGAGAGTCACTTCGAACACCTTGTCCATGAGAGGGATGGAATGACGAAACATTACATCTCAGCTACAAAAGAAAAATCACACTCACATACATTGTTCTCTTGGAAAATATGATTTCATCAAAAAATAGTATGCAAATTCCAAGGACTACCTCAACGATGGGACTATCCAAGTTTGTTTAAAAAGGATAAGTTTGACCCTTACTTCTTTTCCTAAATTTCCTTGCAGTTTTGTTGCGTCTAGATAGGCAATCCTGGAATCCCCTTTTAAGACAGTTTGAATTGGTTGATTTGTGTTGTCCATGAGCTCTTTGCCATCCACCGTCCACGTGACAATAAATCCTACATCTGATTGGCCGATAGGGTAGTCGATTTTACAAGGAAAGCGAACATCCTTTGTTGGAGTAACTTCCGGTTTTGAAAGAACTGGCATTGTTGTAAGTTTTGGATAAAGATCTGAAAAAGGTTAGCATAGTATCTTAGTGTCAACATTTTTACTTAAAAGAAAAAAATAAAACATGTATTTATATTCTTTTAAAGATTTTTTTCAGACATGCAAAATTTTAAGTCATTTGCTCTCTGTATTGTATACATGAACTGCATTTACATGAACAACTTGCTAACGTCTTTTTGTAAATTTAAGCTACGCACCTGGACAGCTTCCACCAACAACGGGTTGTCCACCTACAGCGCACACTTTCTTGTTGCCTTTATAAGAAAACATTGGAGTGAAAAATCAAGCAGCCAAAGGACTTATATATGAAAATCAAATATTTTACAAATACATGTAATCTAACAATCTTTAATATGGTTTGTTACAACGCACTTTGAAAAATTACGCACTTTGAAAAAAAATTTCAAAGTGCTTAAAATTTGGGCCGAAGCTAACGCATTTTGAAATTTTTTTTTTTTCGAAGTGCGTTAATATCGACCATATTAACGCACTTTGAAAAAAAAATGTAAAGATTGATCAATATTCCTTCAAATAATCGGTATGATAAATAACAGATCCTGATTTGATAACTTTTTTATGATAAGTCACTGAAGGACCTGAGATATTGACGTTTTAAATATTTAAGGTTTTGATAAAATAAAAGAGAAAATTAAAGGGTCTTGAAAAAAAGAGTGACGATTGTTTAAGTTCATTAATTCGTTTCTTCTTTTTTTTTAAATTCTAGTCTTTGATAGGTAGATGTAAAGGTGTATAGGGGGCACTAACAGAGGACAGCTTCAAGCAACTTAGCATTTATCATAATAAAAAGGGGCCAATTTGATTGTTCAAAACTATGAAAATTCTTTCTCTCTCATACGTTTTACTGTACTTAAAAATTTCTAGTTTTCATCTGTTTTAATTAACTCATTTAATATTGAAAGTTTTCAACGTCATACCAGTTACGTAAATACATAATTATATGAATGCTTTAAGTATAGCATAGACATCGAACTGTTAAGGGCCAGGGGAGGGGATGGGGGGCTAAGGCCCCCACTTATTTTGGAAAGATATATACATCGTATAAGCATTGAAAATGCAGCGTACCCTTTTTAGGTTTATTGCTCCCCTCCCCCGTTTGTTACCGACACCTATGTATTGGAAAGATAAAGATTTGGACGATTGGGATCTTATAAAAGTCTTCTCCTCTTTTCACGCTAGTAAATCAATTCATTTTCGAGGTTAGGGTTAGGTTTAGTTTTTTGAAAGATAAATAACAAATAAAATCTTTCCTTGACTAAAATATGATTTTTTTTTCAAAGTGCGTTAAGTGTCTCCATGGTAAAATATATTGATGTAGACTCTTAACGCACTTTGAAAAATTTTTTCAAAGTGCGTTGATTTTGTCCCAATTTTAACGCACTTTGAAAATTTTTTTCAAAATGCGTAATTTTTTCAAAGTGCGTTGCCACAATGGTTGCATATTTATGCCATACACATAATTTTTTGTCATCATAAGATATCATGTCGAGTCAAGATAACTATCGCGTCAAGTCATGATAACTTTTTGGTTTGTCGTCAAACACCAACTTTTATCTTGTACAGTCAAGATAAGCTATCGTATTTTTGGGGGTAGATATCCCGATAAAACGAGATAATTTATCTTGTATGGCGGTTAAAAGTTAACAAGATAGTTATTGCCACAAAACGTGATAGCTTATCTTGACTTGACAAGATATAAAGTTGGTGTTTGTCGACAAACCAGAAAGTAATCATCACTTGATGAGATAGTTTTCTTGACTTGGCATGATATGCTATGTTGACAAAAAATATATGAATGGCATAAATATGCCAGCATACATTAAGAAGAAGTCAAAAGTTTTTAGTTTGAGTAGTTCCCTGTTTTTTTTTTACAATCTTGAAATGTACAATGTCATCGTACGCTAATGTATTATTATATAAATTTTGCATGTAGTTGAGTGTAACATTGAAAATTTTTACGCTACCAAGAAAACCATTGTCAACCGAGGCGCAGCACACACCGAGTTTGACAAAGGTTTTTGGAGTGAAAATCATGTTACACTCAACTACATGCTATATTTATTATAATATAGTGAATGTTTTGTACAAATACATATAACAGTGAACCGTGCGCGCATAAATTCTGCGCAGTCGCTATTTTTTGGAACCACCCGTCGTTAAGCAATGTTGACTGTTGCTACGTTGGAGGGCGTGGCTTCATTATTCAGCGGGTAGTAGTGCTTTTTAACAGATGTTTCTCGACCAATCAGATTCAACTAATTTACATGAAAGTATAATATATGAAAAATAATGAATTTTTTATATTTCCCTTTGTAAGAGTTGCATGCCTATTTCAAATTTTGTATGAAATAAAACAATATACAAGAGTGATATTTTCAAATCATACTTGCTTGGACTTGAATTTCATTCGTATAATAACAATATGTATATACACCGTGTTTTTCTTATTGGTATACAGTGAAGACTGCTAAAGTAAAGGTCTTCCTATCAAATACAACATTAATTTTTTCTAAAAGAGAGAGAGAGAGAGAGAGAGAGAGAGAGAGAGAGAGAGAGAGAGAGAGAGAGAGAGAGAGAGAGAGAGAGAGAGAGAGAGAGACCTGCACAGTAGGCCATGGCGCATGCTGGAACAGTTTGGAGGTAGTAGACGTAAAAACTCCCACAATTCTTCACCTGGATGTCCAGAGAGAAATCACAGCAGCTCTGACTAGAACTACCGTAGATATTGGCGCAGGCCTTCCTTGGGACAATTCCATCGGCCTGGGAGGGGTGGGCGCCCTGCATCCACAAGGGGAAGTGGGTTCCACAGTGGTACTGCGTCACACAGGAGGTGGGCATCTCATCATTGTTATCAAACGTGTACCACCCGGCCTGTAATCCGTTATCACACTGGAGATGATCCGTCGGCTCCGGCTGGAACTGGCTGCTCCTGTGTGGCTCTAGGAGTAACCCATGATTGCCACGTAAGCAAGGATCTTGGGCAAAAGCTGTAAAAAGAAATAAAGAAACGATTGAAATCCCATAGATCTAGAATAGCAACTACTAGAAAAAAAACAATAGATATTCTTAGTAAAGAATATTACTGCATTAAAAAAAAGTTTCGGTAAGATTTTCTTTCCTCTATTGCATTTCGATATGTAATATCGTATTTAAAAATCTGCAATTTATTACTAGATAATGTAAATGTGAAACAAATATACATGTAGAATGCATTTGATTTGGCAATCATAATCTGTTTTATTCAATTCCTGTCCAAAGTAATATTTAAAGTTTTTTTTAAGTAAAGTTCTGAAAACTGAATAAAATTTGATCAAAATCAAGATCTCTAATTCTTAAAAGAAATCCTCCATCCCCATAAAGTTAGAAAAGAATTCATGTTCTAAACTTACCTATATAAAATAGGAGCCATATTACTATATTTGCCAGCCAAGCTTATATTATGCAAAATCAAAACTTTGCAAATTTGATTCCAAATGCAGTCTTTTCTTACGTCGAAAGCATTTTTTAAAAACGGTTAGAACAATATTTTTACAATGTAACAATGTTCTATAGAGGCCTTCCAATCTAGGCTGCTAGATGTATTTAGGTAACCTTAAAACCATAGTAAAAGCTACAAAGCTAAAGAAATCTCCTTCCAAATATATCATATTTAGAAATTTTACAAAAAAAAAGAAAGGATTCCTAACAACAAGCCAAGTTTGATGTCAAGTTCTCTACATGCAGTAATATTTCAGCAAGGTATATATTTTATGTAATCTAAAGTAGTTTAACATATTTTTTTCAAAAAGAAAGTTATAGACAAACAAGTTGCTGAATATCTATTGTAAAGACCAACTGAGTTACAATGAGTTGTTAAAATCACTTTATCATTACGTACGTAAGTCAAATGTTTACTGATGTTTTTCTCTTCATTATTAAGAAACCTTAAAGTTTAGGCATTTGTAACTACACCTAACTTACGCAGAAATATTACATGTAGTTAACCTCCAAATAAACACTTAATTGCAATATAAGTATCTTTCTTTGATTTTATATTTCGTTTCTAAGGGCACTCTTTTTGTTAATATTTCCTTCATTTCAGTTTTCATTGGTTTGAGGATTATAGCAGACAGGCAAAGAAAACATGAGTGAAAACAAGGTCTTGTTTCTCCCAATATAGACTGAAATTCAAGCAACACCGACTCAAATTTTTCATTTTTAGTTGTAGGGTTATATACATAATTCCAAGGCTTATCAGTACTAGCTGGTATCGTATTTAATATTCTCATATATATTTATTCAGTACGCTTGCACAACACAACATAATTTCAAAAAGTGAAAACATCAGAAAGCAAATATTTCTTATCAAAGATGCCAATCCCTAAGAAAATAAATGAGAAAAAATAAATCTGAAGCCCCGCACCAGTGTAACATTAATCTACAATCAGAGATAATGAGACTTACCAAGTGTAAAACTACACAGGAGAAGGATAATGCCCATCTCTGAACGTCGTTAATTTATGCCCTGGGTTTACAGGTAAAACCTTTATATAACACACAACACACTACCGTTCTGATAAGCTTCTTGCATTGACTTCCAGGACAATATTTGGCACTGTCTGGGTATTTCCCTTGGGGAGACCGAATAAAATCAAAATTGTCTAATGAGGAAAAAGTTTTCACTTTGACATAAATTTACCCTAAAACTAAGGAATGCTCTGAGAAAATTCCCAAACTCCGAACGGGTACAGGTCTCTTATCAAGAAAGCCATTTCATGAGAATTCGTTCTTGTATACTTAAATTACGTTATTAACCATTAAAAGATATATTTTCAGTTCCATCGTTCAGTAATTTACTTGACAGAATTTCCGTCTTCTAGAAATGCTGGATTACAATAAGTAGCATGTGACTTATGTTTGGAATGTTTAGGGACACGTAGGATTTATTTAAGTTTTATCTCGTCCGGTGCAGTTCATCAGAGGTCACCTTATTCTCTAATGATCCTACTAATTCGCTGTTATTTGAGCGAGCGCAAGGCCGCCAAATATCAAAACTAAAAAAGAAGCATTTTTTCAATGACTTTATTTAGAAATTATACTGAAACATGGTTTTAAAAATTGTAAAAGGTCATTTGCACGAAGAACAATTCTAAGATGCTGTTCGTTTTTAACATTTCATATATAACTCTGTTTTCAATGCATATTCAAAATTACAGTAAAGGTTTCCATCTTCCTTCTGCATGAAACAGAATCAAGTGAAAGAAGTGAACGAAAATATATTAGTATTGAAAATTGATTTGAAGAAATACATTAATCATGACATTAAAGAGTAGGTGGCGGGAACAGTCCCGGGTTGGTTCCACACAGCTCCATCTTGTTACAGTCGGTACACTGATTGGACTGGACTTCGCCACACTGACATCCGCCATTTTGGCAGCATGCGCAGTCGAACAGGTTAGTGTTGTAGGGACAACGACATCCGGTGAAGGCAGCTGTGTAATGGTCTACTTCTGCAAAAAGAATATTTACTTATTAAAGAAAAACACATAAAAATCTAAACATTCTTATGTGTGACATTCATTTTTCTTGTACGGGTTTATGTATAAATGTTGTTGCATGATACTGAGTTACCTAAAAGTCTTTTTCCATTTTCATTTTCAAAAGAAATTGAATATTACTGGATGTATTTTGACCTTAAAGGTTAACCTGTATCCGCCTGGCTTTGCTTGAGAAGAAAATCTCTAAAGGCACTTTACTTTTTTCATAAATCAAAATTAAATCTCGAATTTTGTTTGCATCCTTGCCCAAATTGTAATTACATTACCAGAGGAATTTACAATCGTATATCAATATTTTACCTGTGGCATACAGTTAAATACTTATATAAATAAAAATTATTTGTCTAGAGCTAACCTTGGACGGTTTTGCTCGGTGTCCAGTCGTTAGTTGAGACAGAAGGATCGCAGACATCTCCATTGTCGTTTTGATCACCACTGCGTTGGCACATTCCATCAATGAAACAGCTATCTGGCTGTGTATGAGAAAAAAAGGAGAGAAGTTTTGCTACTAGTTTTTGACTATTTGAATATCACGCTTTAGCCCTTTTGTATCGAATCATTTGAGAGATATAAACTTCATATGCAGGTGACAAAGGTATATTGCTGCATAAGTAAGGGAAGTTAACGATTGAAAGTCATCATGATTATTATAAAGCTTTTTTTTTGTTACATTACCATTGACATCTTTTTCTGTTGAAATAACCAAATATGAAACAGATGTGTCAGACTCTGTGGTATCTTTTATTTCAAGCTCCCCGGGATATATAGTGTCGACATAAAAATGGATATAACAACTGTTATTTGACAATACGTCGTCAATATATCTAAATGCCGAGTTGAAAGCCAAAGCCAGTGTTTTCTTCATTTCACGTTAAAGATTTTGAACAGATTCTGCTTCATACATATACAAAAATAGAGGGCTGGCCCCAAGACCATCAACTGAGAACAGACCTTAGTCAAAATTTTAAATCTATATAACTTTTAAAATAATAATGATAATGAAACAAAATTTTAGTCATATGTTGTAATTGGAACATTTTATAAATTTGCACATTTTTAGTATCATAATTATGTACATGTACTATTTATCATATGTTATTCAAAATCAAAATTTTGACTTAAGTCTGTTCTCAGTATATGGTCTTGGGGCCTGGTCTCCAAAAAACACATAGATATTGTCAATCATAAACTCGAGCATCTTTTGTGTTGCTCGATATTTTATATTCTGCAGACAAATCCATTTTGTGTACAGAGACTTGCTTTTCTGTTGCTTACGTTGTGTGTACAGACACCTGCTTTATAGTTACTTATATTGTACGCACAGAAATCTGCCTTATAGTTACTTATATTCTGAGGACAGACATCTGCTTTATAGTTACTTACATTCTATGGACAGACGCCTGCTTTATAGTTACTTACATTCTATGGACAGACGCCTGCTTTATAGTTACTTACATTCTATGGACAGACGCCTGCTTTATAGTTACATACGTTGTGTGTACAGACACCTGCTTTATAGTTACATACGTTGTGTGTACAGACAGCCACCTGCTTTATAGTTACCTACATTCTGTGTACAGACAGACACCTGCTTTATAGTTACATACGTTGTGTGTACATACACCTGCTTTATAGTCACATACGTTGTGTGTACAGAACCTGCTTTATAGTTTCATACGTTGTGTGTACAGACACCTGCTTTATAGTTACATACGTTGTGTGTACAGACACCTGCTTTATAGTTACATACGTTGTGTGCACAGAACCTGCTTTATAGTTACTTACATTCTATGGACAGACGCCTGCTTTATAGTTACATACGTTGTGTGTACAGACACCTGCTTTATAGTTACATACGTTGTGTGTACAGACACCTGCTTTATAGTTACATACGTTGTGTGTACAGAACCTGCTTTATAGTTACCGTTGTGTGTACAGAACCTGCTTTATAGTTTCATACAGACACCTGCTTTATAGTTACATACGTTGTATGTACAGACACCTGCTTTATAGTTATATACGTTGTGTGTACAGAACCTGCTTTATAGTTACATACGTTGTGTGTACAGACACCTGCTTTATAGTTTCATACGTTGTGTGTACAGAACCTGCTTTATAGTTACATACGTTGTGTGTACAGACAGACACCTGCTTTATAGTTACATACATTGTGTGTACAGACTGGCACCTGCTTTATAGTTACATACATTGTGTGTACAGACAGACACCTGCTTTATAGTTACATACATTGTGTGTACAGACAGACACCTGCTTTATAGTTACATACATTGTGTGTACAGACAGACACTTGCTTTATAGTTCCATATATTGTGTGTACAGACAGACACCTGCTTTATAGTTACATACATTGTGTGTACAGACAGACACCTCTTATTTAGTTACATACATTGTGTGTACAGACACCTGTTATTTAGTTACTTACGTTGTGTGTACAGACACTTGTTATTTAGTTACTTATGTTGTGTGTACAGACACTTGTTATTTAGTTACTTACGTTGTGTGTACAGACACCTGCGGCTGTACATTTCATGCAGTAACCGTCAGCCACAATAAACAGAGCGTCATGGCTGTAATGACGACCATCTGACGTCACTGAGATCTTGAAACCCTGGGCACTGAGACCTGTAAATATAAAATTCAAGAGACACACATCAACTATCCAACATCTAATTTGTGCTGGAAATACCGATATGGTAAAGATCAACACCTTTCATGACATTATTTTCGGGTATTGGACACAGAACCTCTAAGAAGCTGAGGAACTCTCCTTTGTTTATTACCACTGGACCTGCGTCTACCGGTCCACCTTTTGATAGCTATTTTATTAGAAGAAGAAAACAGTCAGTTAGAATTTAATATTAGAAATAACATTACAAATATATATACTAGAAAACATATCCAATGGAGGTTGGAGAATATAAGATATATAACTGCTTTAGTTTTTTTTAACAACAAGGTTTACTTGTTTTGCTTACATCGACTGGAGTAATCCTGCATGAAAGGTTTGCTGAATCCATGATGTTGTCAACAATGACATTAGCTTGTCTACAAGGTCGGCTCCTGATATCACAATTACCATCTCTAGAAGAGGAAGATGGTCAGCATAAAAACATAGAATGTTGTCAAACTTAAGACACGTTGAGCATTTCAGCAAATGTTCTGTTTTTATAGTTACAAACCCCCTGATGCGATGGATAACTGGGGGAACTCCCACTTGAATAGAACAGTCGTCTGACATGTATCCATGGTTACAATGACACGTGCCACTGACGCAGTTTCCATTTAAGGAACACTGATTTGGACAGCCAGTCACTGAGGGTTTTATAACCGGGTCTCCGTTGACGTACTGGATGTTGCTGGGATCTTTAGCAAGCTCGTTATGACAGGCACTATCAAAGGCGTTCATAGCAGCCAGCTTAAATACTGCTGTTGAATCAGAATACTGTAAAAAGGATAAGTTAAATTATGTACCTTAGGTCACTCTTATCATTGAAAAACTCTATTCTTTCTTGGTCGAAACGTATATCCAGAGTGATGTACGTACTATTAGATGTGCTACTGTAAATGTGACTTGATGGTTATTTTTTGTTTTGTCACAAGTAAATAGAAAAAGTATTGTTACCTTTATATCCTCGATGCATCCGTCCATGATGTCGTTAATGATATCTGTGTGCTGACATTGACTATAAAGAGATGACGTCATAATAGAGTGTTGGCAGGATTTATGGGCCTGATTTTGTGTGATCCCACTTGGCGTTGGGAACGAAGCATCCACGTTCCTCTTCAGTCTTCCTGCAATAAGGATAATATTCCAAGCTCCCTAACTGATACCTTATCAAAACGTATAATGTATATGACTCTGAACTAATTTTGTATTCAAGAGCGTGATCTACAAGTTTTAAAACAAGACAGTCTATTGCTAAATATGGTGATGTTACAGGGCTTTATAAATTTCGTTTAAAGTCAGCATTTTTGCAAATTCTATATACGTTTTAAAATAAATAATTTTGACTGATGTTTGTTCTGTTTATTTAATCAATACAGGAGGCTCATCTGTGGTTGTGAATGGTCGGCACGGAGTAATCGACTGTTGCATTTTAGGGAGTTTTAACAAAGGAATATATTATGATTCCTAGCTATAGTAAGTGATACGCTTACTTGCGGCCATCCTAGGATCCATGACAATATCTCTCTCAGGATAATGGTCAGTGTAGGAGCGTGCTGATCGTCGAGGATGTGTGTTCTTGCCACTTATGATCGACCCATCCTTAGCCTACAAGTCATAAGAGAGGTACTTAATCCGCGCTACTGGTTTAAATTAATATTACACTGAGAAAACCTTGTTTATTGGAAACATTTATGCATGTTGATTGAACATCTCGTCTTCACAACATGCAATTTGTTGAAATTCCAATGAATACTAATAATGCTACGTTATTAACATATTTATTATACTGAATTTCGTATGAAGTAGAATTCATAAAAAATTAAAACTTCTAAACAAAAAGAAAAGGAATACTCACTCCTACAGGGCACCTGATCCCACTTCTGATGTTTTGAAAGTCAGTGATTGTTTTGTTTGTATTCGTATTGTTTGAAGGACTTTTGAGCCTGAACACTTTCCTTACAAATTGTATTGCCATTAGTCCATTTGCTCGACTCTGAAACCCCCCCCCCCCCCAAAAAAAAAAAAAAAGAAGAAGAAACTTATGTAACCGGTCAACAGGGGTTGCTTTCTCCTCCATAACACCTGACCCTACCGTTGATACTGTTAGAGGCCCACGTTTGCTTCACTCCCAAATTGTACATGATTTTGTTCCAATGGACATTTCTTTTAGCTTGATTGCTGTTTGTTTTCTTCATATTTTCGGTAGCAATTCTTGATTTATTTATAACTGAGCAGAAATAGGATAAAGTAAATAATATGGAAATCTGGAATATTTGTTTTATAACCGTCGCAACTTCGTTTTGTGAGTTGTTATGGTAAAAACCATTTTAGAAGATTCTAAACACAGAGACCGAATGTTACTGATCTACACTTTCGTGTTTTTTTTCTAGACTTCGAGATCATATGATGCTATCAAAATTTTAAAATGATGCAGGAAGCCTTCATTCAACTTTTGTGAAAATTTTTATCATCTAAAACAAAACAGATTTGTGTTGCAATACTTTTTCCATGCATATAACTTATCCCTCTGTAATTTTTTTCAACTGATTCGTGGCATTCTTTACCTTGCTTGGATTTATGGCTCCGTTTCCAACTTTGGTGCAGGTCACTCCTCCTTGTTTACAGGAACAATATTCAAACTTAGGCGCCAAATGCTGTTCGTATTTTGGAATCTGGTAAAACATGCTACTGCCAGTTGGAAGACTAGAAAACACAGAATAAGCCTGATTAACTTTAAGAAAATGTGGTTGTCTATTTTACGAATGTCCTATCTTTATGGAGTGTTGATGTGCTTTGTGGACAAACATCAATAAGATTGAATACACAAATATGAAAGAAACAGAAATTTACGCCCAGCTCTTGGCAAAGTCTGCGATTTTGTTGAGGGTATATGTTCGTCCATCCCCTCCTCTGAAGGCACCATCAGGTAAACCATTCCAGTTCCCACAAAGCCCCTCACTCCCTCTGTAGTCATCTGGAGGTGCCTGGATATCCACATTCATTACAGGGAGGTGCTCTTTACGGGTACGCCCACCCGAAATATGGGTCTTAACCTCAAGTCTCGCTCCCGACGGGAAATTAATCTAAATACATGTATTACATGGTTCTAAATGTCAATCGCATTAAAATGTGAAGTAGGGAAAATAAAATCCTTACATAGAATATTTTTCCGGTTTTATCCCTGCTAACAGTGGTTCCCTCCAGAGGGTGTCCGGAGGGATAAGACACTGAGGGAGCCTCCACAACGCCTGCTCTCTTTTCACACATATCCACCTCCACGATGTCGTTTGCCTCCCGTGCAATGATGGCACAGATACAGGGGTGGTAACTTCCGCACGGCCAAGTCCGCAACTGAACCTGTTCATAGTTACTAGTATTTTACTTTCAGATTTGATAAAAACTGAAGGAAGAGATGTCAGAAAGAGCCATAGGAACTTTAAGAAATTATCTCTTACCTCGAATGGTCTTTTTTGGTTCAAAGATTTGTAGAGAACGAAATCCCCCACCGCATATACATTATAGTTCCTGAAAGTGTTAGAGTCAACTTACAATCTTATAATTGTGAGGCTTTTCAATATAAACAAAGCTAAAAGTAAAAATGTCATTCTTATTTAAACAAACATTTCTAAAAGTAAGACCCAACACATTCTTGCAAAAGAAAACCAAAACTATGTAAACGATAATGCAAAATGTATCTCAAAATTTAGTACGTATACCAATCTTTAGGAACCAAACTTGCATTTTCTGTGAATTCTTTACTGTTCTTAGGGGTAATAATTATGTTGTTTTCGTGTTATGACGAGAAACCCATGCATTTATTTCCTTCACGAAATGCTAAAATTATAAACAGACTTCAACAACAACAATATTAATTGTATTTTCCACAATGGGATACAAATCAGTATTTTGCCCCAAAATAACAAGAACCTGTATCTCTCAAAATATCTCCTAACATGTATTGAAAAGTTTCTATATAAGAATTAAACAGTCAGACAGGGGTGGTACAATAACTTACTTTTTATAATCAAATCCAGAAAAATGGGGATCTCCCCAGGGGAGGCAATGCCCATGGTCCTTGTCCGTTGTACCAATCTGATAAAAGAAATCTTAGTTTACAAATTACAGCAAAATGCTCATCCGAGTAACTACAACCCTCCTTCTTTTCATCAGTAGATTCTTTTTTCTTAAATATCTTTAGTAAAACTTTGCCCATTGAAACACTATTCTACCTCCAAGAGTCGTGTTTTGAACAAAATTGATATACATTACCAGTGTATGCTTTAATATAAATACTGTAGATCACTAAATTTTCGCGACAATTGATATACTTGATTACAAAATTTTCATGAATTGTGGTTATTGTATGCTTTAATATAAATAATTGACGTGAATAAAAAGTGATTTACAGTGCTTTGTTGTCGTGAGAAGTTGATTCTTTTCCCTTTATATTCTAATGTAAAAATTGGATTCATAGTGGTCAAACCTACCCCTTACGGGTTATGACTTTAACAGATTTGAATTTATATTTTGTTATGAGAGTTTCTCTTAACATTTAAGTTTCATCTTTTATTGTCCATTGGTTCTTGGGAAGAAGAGATCAAATCTAAATTTGAATTTTTGGAATAGAACGTGGCCTTTAATTTGATTCGAGTTGAATCCCCTTCAACCACGGATAGGTCGTGCCAAATTAACCGAATTCTTCAAAATCTGTCAGTTTTGAATATTTTTGATATCCCAAAGAACAAAGATGAATTTGTAATCACACCCACACACACACACCCACACACACAGATATATATATACACACACACACACACACACACACACACACACACACACACACACACACACACACACACATTTTTTGAATATATATATATATATATATATATATATATATTGAATTCCGAAACTGCATAAGAATCCTTACAAACAAAGATACATAGCGGATTCCAGTAAATGTTCAACCAAGCCTCTTTCCTTCCTCCTCGCTAAGATGATTTGACAGTAGTGAAGGAGAAACTTCAAGAGGACGATGCAACAATGTATTCAAAAAGTGGTATATATCAGATGTGGAAACTTAAAAATTCCAAGGAAATTTTGGACAATATTAAATCAAAAGATTTTACCAAAATCAACTGCTTAAAAACTTACGACTTTTCAACTTTATACACAACCATTCCCCACGATAAATTGAAGTTCAGGCTTTTCGATATCATTGACAACTGCTTTGCAATAAAAATCAAACTCGAAAATTAACTCACATTGTCTTTGGTCATTTGCAAAATTATTTTGTTAAAAAGAATTCTGATTGCACACACAAGTACTCTTAAGTTGACATCAAAAAAGATGCTTGAGTTTCTGATTGACAATATCTATGTTGTTTTTGGAGACAAGGTCTTCCAACGATCTATTGAAATTCCCATGGGTACCAATTACGCCCCGTTATTAGCAGACCTATTTTCGCAATCATATGAAGCAAAATTTGTGCAAAATCTTATGCGTGAAAAGAAGAAAACACTTGCTGTGACCTTCAACTCGACATTTAGATATACGTATCGATGACGTACTGTCAATTAACAATGGAAATTTCCATTCTTATATCGATACGATTGAGCTGAAAAAAAGATACTATGTACAGAGTCTGATACATCTGTTTCATATTTAGATATTTTACTTGAAAAAGACATAAATGTAATCTAACAACCAAGCTTAATGATAAACGTGATAAATTTAACTTTTCTATTGTCAACTTCCCTTACTTATGCAGCAATATACCTTCATCACCTGCATACGGAGTTTACATGTCTCAGTTGATTAGATACGCAAGAGCATGCTCTACGTATGAACAATTTCTACACCGAGGTAAATTATTGATAAACAAGTTGATGAAATAAGAATTTCAGCAGGCTCGTTTGAAGTCATCATATCGTAAGTTCTATGGTCGATACAATGACCTTGTCAGCAAATACAATTTCTCATTAAGGCAAATGCTGACTGACTTTTTTCACACCGTTTTTTAGTCCATTATTTAAACACTGAATTGACGACGGATTTTTCCGTTATCTCCCGATCAAGACCGCGGTGTGACCGGTCCGTGTTTGCTCTGCTCCTATTTTGTATTGTTTTATGGACTTGTGATCTGGAATACTGTTCGTTATCTCCATAGGTAATCCTGGAGAATATAATGAAATTGTAAAATGTTTAGAATTACAACGACAGGCATCATTATGTACTAATTCTGAAAAGAAGACTTCAGCGTAGATTAGCTTAAAATAGCATAATTAATGAACAATTCTCCCATGAAAAAATACTAGTATACATTAGATTAAAAAATCGCGCCATTGGTTGATGCATCTCCCGAATTGAGCTTGGCAGTTGGTAAATTCCTAGTTATACACGTACCGTGATGGAGGTAGCGGTGTAATTTTGCCACATGGGATGGGTGAAGTCCAGGATAGGTTTAAATGCCAATTGGTGGATATGGTTGTGGTCTTTGATGAAATCTCTGGTGGCTTTGACTTTGATGAGAGTGGAATACAGCCCCGTGACATTGTCAAGTCTAAGATCAAGGTGACAACCAGAGAGGGAGGCATCTGAAGATAAAAAAAGACAGATTAGATTCCATTTACACCGTAAAGTTACGGATCTCGCTGGTTTTACTTATCTAAAATATATACAGTACATTACACAAAAATATGAATATACGAGGGCCGTTCAAAAATTACGCGGACTTGTTGCACAGAAGAAATATTTGACGACATAATCGGGCAAAATTTCACAAATAATATAAAAGAATCTTTACTTATATGGTCTTCAAAATTTCATATCAAAATGTTGTAAATTGGTATTAATTTTGAGTGATTTTTCAGGACATACCCTTAAATCACGGCGCAGCAAAATCTTCGACGTCACAAGCATTATAAAAAATATGTGATTGAGCTTTCATTTTCTCAGCATTTTCCCTGGAGTACCTGTATAGTTTGAGTTACCTTATCTACTCAACATCAAAACACCATTTCTTGTCAAGCTTAAAATCTATTAAACAAGTAAAGAATATTCTTTTTTTTTGTTTTAAAACCAAAAACTACTTATGAGATATAGTGTGATATTGGTGACTCTCAATCACGTTCTTTACAGTCCGGATAAAGTTAACTTTTCGTCTATAATCTTCTTCCCGTCCTCCCGTATAGCCTTTTTACAGAGGTCTAACTGTCTAAAATTTCAATTTGCTATTTGTGGGCGAATGTCACGGGTAGCCTAGTTTACTACATGTACATGTTTTATTATGCCTATTTTGGATCTATGTTGCCGATATCTCGAGCATTATACATATTTTAACAAAAGTGTGGTGCGCCGTCAATTCAGGAGACGTCATTTTAACAGTCGTTTTCACAGGAATCAAATCAGAGAAAAATCATGATATTTCTGTTAGTACTTCAAATATTACGTCCGAAATCTAAATACATAATAATGGAACAATTTAAAGGTACATTTGAGAAAATTGTTGAAAAATATCGCGAATATTAGAAAATCAATGAGTTAAATTTTTGAATCCGACTGCTTTTGCTTCAATTTTTTTGTCGTGCGCCGTACCTCTCCATCAACGATATCAACATACCGATAATTTTAGTAGAATTTTTGTAAAATACAGAAATTTTGCCCAAAATTTATTGGAATCTTTAAGATACATATTTCTGTGAAATTTTATAACTATATGACGTCTGTAAGAGTAAATAATAGCACAGTCCGCGTAATTTTTGAACGGCCCTCGTACAATGCTTCGATACATTTTTAATTGTGAATTAGTTAAATTATTAAGGATGTACAACACACCTACCCCAAAAAATTCCTGTCGTTTAATTTTCGTTATTTTTGTATATTTAGTACATGACTATATCTTCTGCATGTATGCACATTTTGAACAAAATCGTTCGAGTGGTTTTTGGACAGGAACTTCCAAAAGTTACCACCCTTTAGTTGTTTACAAGAAGAGAAAATTTTTAATCAATGAACTACTTAAACCTTGATTTTCAAAAAAGCCAGGTTAGATATAAATGTCAAATTTCATTGGCTTATTCCTTTGACCATTTAACACAAAAATATAGCCATCTTTTTGATATACATATCATCAAAATAATTTTTAAAGACCTTAAACTGAAAAACTATGAATTATCTAAGCCTTGAAAATTGCGTATTTTTCAAATTCAAAATTTTTTTGTGAAAAAACCTGTCGTTTAATTTTGGTAAAAAACTTTCTTTAGGTAGCTGGTAGTAAAAATAATCTTTATAATTTTTTGTATAATTTTTGTACGACCAGTTTTTGATTTAATAGCGGAAAATTACCCCCTCCCCCTTTCTCAATAAATCACATTCCCGCGCGTCTTTCAGACAGGGGTCGATCACTTTGTTATGTGAATCTACAAATACACATTAAAAGAATTAAATTGGAATATTGCTTTTGCTTCAAAAATATATTAGCTTACAAATTTAAAAGTTCTCATATGTAAAGTGTATTTAAATGTAGATTTTTAGGCAATTTTTGAACACCCCTATCACCCCCACCCCTGCCTTTTTTGCGTCGCAGACCATTAGCGTTTGACGAAACGTCGTTTACAGTGCAAATATACTGGTATTTCGTCATTTGAATCCCGGAGGTATGCATTAGTTTTTAAATTCATGAATGCAGAATAAACATTGACTACTCTTTTTATATGTATCAGGAAAAAATTACTGAAGGATTTTAGTGTTTAGTCCATATATGTATGCGTTATGCATTCCATATCACATGACACCTGGATACGAATTCAAGTTTTGTTGAACTTGAATATGTTGATTTTTAATTTTATTTCTTTAATTTTATTCATTAAAAAATGGTGTATTTTCAATTCTCCTGTGATATAAATGGAATAATTGTAGTTCCTTTCATGTCATTATTTCAAACGAGACAGTATGTAGCCGTGGGGATACATCGACATTTGCATAGATGTACACCCCTCATGATATTGTACGCATTTTTTTCTATATCGTCGCTTCTTAAGTTAAAATGAAAATTCCGTATTCGTCCACATTAACTTCAAAATATCAAACATTAAACCCTTCATCTATTTCAATTTATATCAAATCGCACTTTGATATTTTATAAAATCTTATAGGCTACGTTTTGTTTTGATTCGAGGAAATGCGAACCGACATTGTTGACAGAATGTCAAACGATTTGCTGCAATAGGATATTCATAAATGCAGATAATTTCAGTATAAGTGAACAATTCTTTTCAATATTCTATACTTACATTGTGTATATGAGGTCTATAGTATTCAATTCTTGGATATATCAGGTCTTGCTGTAAATGTATCTGATTCTGTTGAAAACCGTGAATAAAGGGAGGAAAATAAACATCTTCTACATTATCAGAGTTGTTCCTCTTTGATCAGTAAGGGTCTGAGAACAACATCGATTTTACATTGTAAAAAGTTTGTTGTTTTATTTAATTAAAGAAGAAAAACAATATTTATATCGTAAATGCACAAATTGTAATGAAGACCATTAATCGGAATGTTATATAGCCAATTGTACATAATGAGAATTTCGGCAATGTAAAATAAAATTTCAGAATAAAAAAAAAATGCTGCGCTGTGATCAAAAATACAATTTATTGTATATGAAATGAAATGAAATAAACATTAAGGGATGGTATTTTATTCTTGCTTTTTACGGAAATTAATCGGATTAATTAAAAATACTTATTGATTGAGTATGGTACGCACAATCACAGCCAAGCCCCATATCCGAATTTTCTTTCATGATTGATATACATCGGGATCATTTTACTCGTCGCTTTGACGCTTTATTTTTGACGTTAAATTTGACGTCACGTCAAACGTTCAATTGAAATCGCAAGAGTTATCTCCCCCAGTGTGTTGTACGTCTTTAAATATCAATGAGATCATCGACATGTAAAATAATAAGTATTAGTTGTTTTGATTTTAAACAATATAAAAAAATTGACACATAAACATGATTAATATTCCGTGAATATACCTGCCGGATTGCGTAGCCCCTTTAGATTTACCGTCAGTTTACAATCATCAGGGAAGAGGCTCCTACAGGGGATGGGTATGGTGGACTCCACCTTCACCGTCTTCTCCGGGCCACCTTCATCCACATTGAGTCTGTCCGGGGTCATCTGTAGCAATAACGGGACAAAGATTTACAAGATTACATTGTGAGGGAGTTATCAGAGTTTATTAGTTTACAATGAAGATTTGCTCACCCTAATTCCACACCAGTAACCGTTACTACTGAGTGAGTCACTGCTGACACCCGCACCACGTGACGGATGGAAGGAGGACACCACACACTTCAGCTGTAACCACAAAAGGTATTATAAGTATATGAAATTACTGTTTTCTATAATCACATTTAGAAGAGTAGCTACAAAGTTATATGAACATAGACAGTATTCTTTTTAACGGTTAAAAAAAGGTCAAAGAACACAGTGCTCTATTGTAGCATTACTCTTTCTCTCTTTCTCAACATCTGGTGAGAAATAATTAAAATACTTTAAAACGTGACACATACCTAATGTGTAATCAGGAATTTAAATAATCCAGATTTTCTTGAGGTCGATTTGCAAGATAATAACACATAGAACTCTAAATTTCTATTCAAATGTGTTAAAGGTCAAGTTCAAGAATACCCTGGAGATGTCACTAATTTGTGAATATTGAGGAATAGACAGGCAGACAAGGAGGAGCATTACATTTAGTTTCCAATAATGAGGCGACATAAATCTAAATTTGTTGATTAGAGTCGGATTTTCAAGCCTTGTATCTTTTCACGTTTCTTGGTGTACGTTTTTAGAGGTTTTCCTTCAAAGATACATTTTACCTGTCAGCGTCAATAGATACCTCTTTTCCAAGATTTCCTTGGAGTTTCATGGCGTCGAGGTAAGCAATTCTGGAATCCCCTTTCAAAATCGTCTCCAGTGGATGTGTTGCGTTCTTTTTAAGTATTTGACCATCTACCGTCCAAGTCACTCTGAACCCAACATCAGGTTGACCTATTGGGTAATTGATTCTACATGGAAAACGAACGTCCTTTGAAGGAGTTACCTCAGGATTTTTCAGGACTGGCAAACTGGTCATTTTAGGATATAGATCTAAAGATATAAAGAATAGAATAAATCCCTTAAATCATAATGATATTTTGGTTCTTTAGTCAGAAACATCTTACCGGGACAGCTGCCACCTACAGTTGGTACGCCTCCTACGTTGCAGACTTTCTTGTTGCCTGAAAAAAAATTGAGGATATAATGATAAGGTGTTTTCACTACACCGTAAAGGTTACGTGGTTGGTAGAAAAAGGAATCAACAAATAAAACGGATTGTTCTGGGCTGCATAAAATGAAACCATCTTACCTGCACAGTAGGCCATGGCGCATGCTGGAACAGTCTGGAGGTAGTAGACGTAAAAACTCCCACAATTCTTCACCTGGATGTCCAGAGAGAAATCACAGCAGCTCTGACTAGAACTACCGTAGATATTAGAGCAGGCCTTCCTTGAGACAATTCCATCGGCCTGGGTCGGGTGGGAACCCTGCATCCACAAGGGGAAGTGGGTTCCACAGTGATACTGGGTAACACAGGAGGTAGGCATCTCATCATTGTTATCAAACGTGTACCACCCGGCCTGTAATCCGTTATCACATTGCAGATGATCCGTCGGCTCCGGCTGGAACTGGCTGCTCCTGTGTGGTTCTAGGAGTGTTCCGTGTTGTAAGCAAGGATCTTGTGCAATAGCTGTAAATTAATAAATGTGGATGAGATAAAACAGAACAGAGAGGTTTGTTCGTCTTAGTAGCCTTTGTGATTGCGTTATTTTCTCTTGGTACCTTAAGTGAGTTTATTCCCATTTCCAACGATAAAGTTAAAATGAACAAGATGAAACGGTTTTTTTCCCATAAGAACAGAAGACTACTCGAAAGATTTGTGTAAATTATTTTGAGTTAACCTTGCAGTGACACGGTTCCTTTCTTTACTCCTTACTAAGATATTACCAGTTTTGAAGGAGAAACTTCGAGAGTACTGTTCAACAATATATTCGAGAAGTGATGTAAATTAGATGTGGATACGAAAATTTCAAGGAACATTTAAAACCATAAAATTTTACTTAAATCAAGAGCATAAAAACTTACGACTTTTCAACTTTATATACAACTACTAGTATTCCCCATGATAAATAAATCAAAGTCCAGGCTTTCTTTAATTATTGACAGCTGGATGCTATTTTAATAAAAATGGAACTCGGAAATTTACTTACCCTGTCATTGGTCATTTAAAATATTACTTTGTTACAATGTAAAAAACACTCTGATTGTACACACAAGTACTCTGAAGTTGATATCAAAGAGATGCTTGAGTTTCTGAATGACAATATGCATGTAGTTTCTGGAGACCAGGTATTCCAACAATCTATTGTAATTCCCATGGGTACTAACTGAATGCAAACATTTATAAGCAGACCTTTTTTGTATTCATATGAAGCAAAATTTGTTCGAAATCTTATACTTGAAAGAAGAAAACACTTGCCGTACACTGTAAAAAAATAACGAGTTAAAGTCACGAAGAAAACTAGTAAATTTACTGTCCATACAATCACTACCTTAAAAGTAGTTCTACCAGATATTGGTATATTTACTAGATAAGATTAGTAAATTTAGAATTGATATAAGCAAAATTTGTTCAACAATCTTTTAACCAGTAAAATGAAAGTTTACTAATCACAACCAACGCTTTACGAGGCACACTAGTTAAATTCACTAGGTTTTTCTTTCAGTGTAGCCTTCAACTCGACATTCAGATATATCGACGACGTATTCTCAATTAACAATAATTATTTCCATTCTAATGTTGACACGATATATCCAGTTGAGCTTGAAATAAAGATACCACAGAGTCTGACACATCTATTCTATATTTGGATATTTTACTAAAGAAAAAGTCGTTAATGGTTATCTAATACCCAAGCTTTATGATAAACGTGATGACTTTAACTTTTCAATCGTCAACTACCCTTACTTATGCAGAAATATACCTTTCTCATCTGCATAGGGAGTCTATATCTCTCATTTCATTCGATACGGAAGAGCATGCTCTATGTATGAACAATTTCTAAAACGAGATAAGTTTTTGACAAACAAGTTGATGATCAAGAATAAAAGCAGTCTCGTTCAAAGTCATCATTTCGTAAGTTCCATGGTCGATACAATGACATTGTCAGCATATACTAGTTATGTCAAATGCTGACTGACTTTTTTCATGCTGATTGCACTGCGGGTGTGACCGGTCGACAGGGGATGCTAACCCCTCAATGACACCTGATCCCACCTGATGTTTTGGTGGCTCATATTTGCTCTCATGTCAAACATAAAATTTGGCATTATAATAATAACAAAACCATATTTATTCAACTGCAAAATGGTTTAAAGGTATTTAAAAGCTAAAATGCCAAAGAAGAATATACAGTCATGTATGTATATTCCCAAAGAAATGAAATAAGAATTTTTTTTCTCATACGAATGTTTTTCAGTAATATAACAAAAGGAAACACCATACCTAGTGTAATGCTTAATGCTAGCAAAAGTATATCCATCTCGGTTATTAAGTCCAAACCTTCACGAAAGAGAGCAACCATCTGTTAATCACTAAGTCAGGAAACCAGTTTAAATATTGCCTTTATGAACAGAACTATAATTTTGGAATCTTAGACATTCAATAGGTTTCAAAGAGGCTAGCGACGAAATTGTGAATTGGAATTTATTAGCCATAAAACTGGACAGTGGCCTAAAATTGTCAATGATTACTGGGGATTGAGAACTGAAGTTTAAAATGTTAAATCACCGCTCCTCTGATTCTTTCATTTGTTGTCAAGATTGAGAATCTAATTTGCCCTAATAAATAGTAATTATGCTTTATATATATACATATATTAAAAAAATACAAGATGGGTTATGGAATATAAAAACAATCTGAATCCATAGTTTAAAAGACACTTGGATATACACTGTACAATAAAAAAAAGCTTTAATACTACAGTAAAATAATTACAGCTAACCATTGTTAACTACATCATATATTTTCGATACTTGAGTTTTCAATATTAATATATACTCAGAAGAGATCACAGTATATAATATGTTTTCGTGTTTTTTTTTTTTTTGGGGGGGGGGGGGAGGGGGCTGGTCGAAGACGCGGAGACTAATAGTGAAGTATCCTTTGTCGTATTTCAATATGATTTTTGCACCCTTTCGTTCAATTTAATTGTAATTAAGTATAAAACTATAGAGACAAGATTCTGTGTATCGCTTAAACCTTGCTGAATTTCTTTAAAATTCTTTCAAAAAGCTACATTAAATTTCCTTTACAGCACTTGTCCCAAGTTCAAAGAACTTGTATTATCATACATAATTTATGTACATAATTCTATTTTTTAAGAATATTTTTGGTGAGTAGTGTTGTCATGATCATTGAAAATATGATGATGGTAACTTTGTATTTAATAAAAGTAGACTATACAAATGTTCATCATTCTTTTTATCGTTTTTTTTTTCTTACGACGTTCAACCTATTAGTTATAATATGAAGATAACGAACAGTGGCCATGCTCAACTAGTCCACTGAGAACAGAGCAAACAAATCACAGAAGGGTCAGATGCATCCCCTCTCGATCGGTCACACGAAACGAGTGATCTTTACCCTGATGGGGATTGGGGAAACGGAAAATTCGTAGCCAAATAGTATGAAATTATTACTTTTTGGTCGATATAATGACCTTATCAAAAACATCTTTCACTAAATTAAATGCTTTTGAACGTTTTTCATACTACACTGTACTTATAATAATTAGACCATTATTTACATACTGATTTGTCAACAGATTTTCTCATTATTTTCCGATCTTTGACAAGGAGCACACGGTGGGAGCGACTGATCAGCAGGAGATGCTGACTCTCTAATGCAGCTAATCCAACTTCTGATGTTTGAGAGCTTTGCGTTTCTTCTGCTACTGATTCGTAATGATTGAATGACTTTTGGGCTTCAACAATGTTCGTTATCACCATATCTTATGAAAGACTTTAGTCATTTTTTTGTTATATTTTTTATTTTTTATTTTTTTTTTTTGGGGGGGGGGGGGTCATGCATTTTTTGTATACATGTTTAAGTGTAGACGGCTAAAGTTAATTTATATGTTATGTACAGAAGTCAATAAGTTGATATCTTACATTGGCCTTTTGACCCTTGAATTCATAGGCTTGTACTTTTAAGTGCAATAGTCAGGATGAGTTCACCATGCATTTTGAAACCAAGGTTTACAGTCTGTCCTAAAATGATTTTTACAATACTATGCGAAGGAAAACAAAGCTAATTTAATTAATATTGATAATGGTAACAGGATGATGACCCATTTTGGGTAGTCAAGGATTGTTGAAAACAAGGTAGTTTCCCGCCTCTCCCTTCGACCCCTCCTCCCCCCCCAAAAAAAAATCGCTTCCCAAAAGCCTTATAAAATATAAAAGTGGTTGAGTACTAGTACCACTTAAGAAACAATGTTGTGAAAGTCAATGAAAATTGAATGTTCTGAATGAAATTTGATAAGGTGATCTCCGTGGTTTACCTGATGGACGTGCATTAAAGGTTTAAAATACCTTTGTGTCCATATAAAAGTATTTGTGGTACTACTTTTAATGCAATTAAACAATGCCAAGATAGCATAGTGGATACTTTATCAAATAGATTCGATTTAATTTCTTGTTTATCTGGCGAGAATCCCAGGACATGAAGGTCAGCTGGACCCACTGGCATATATTAACCAATCAGGATCTATATTCAGGTTGACAATGCCATATATATATATTTATATATATATATATATATATATATATATATATATATATATATATATATATATATTTATATATAATTATTTCCTCGTTGGTGGAGGTTTTCAAATTATTTACCCTGAAAAAATCATCTACCCAGATCTGTCTCTTCATCGCCCTTCTTTGCATGCTTTATTAATTAACAGCGAATGTTTTTGAACAATTTTTATGCCCGCGTAAACGAAGTTTAGGGGGTATATAGTTTTTGTCGTGTCCGTCCGTCTGTCTGTCCGTCTGTCTAGCTGTCTGTCTGTCTCTCTGTTTGTCCGCAAAAACTTTAACCTTGTCCATAACTTTTGGTTTAGCGGAGCAATGACTTTCCTATTTCACATGTTTATTCCTTGTGTCAAGACCTTTCTTTGGTTACCACCAATTAAATTTGACCTTGGGGTTTGACCCACTTTTACATAAAAATTCCAAACTTTTACTTTGGCCATATCTTTTGAAAAATACATACAAGGACATTTATACATATGTATTTTTTGTGGAAAGACCTTTCATTGGATACCAACAACCTTGACCTTTTGACCTTGGAGATTTCTATACTTAAGAAAAAACTTTAACCTTGGAAATAACTTTTGAACGGTAATTATAAGGGATAGGCTTTCATACTTCACATACTTAGTATGTAATTCTTGTGAGAAGACCCTTCACTGGACACCAAGAACTTTGACCCTTTGACCTTGACTTTGGAGTTTGACCTGCTTTTAAAAAAGCAAACCTTGACCATAATTTTTAAAGGGTTGGGGCTAGTGCTTTCATACTTTACATATTTAATCCTTGTGACAAGACCTTTCATTGGATACCAACAACCTTGACCTTTTGATCTTGACCTTGGAGATTTCCAAACTTATGAAAAAAACTTTAACTTTGGCCTACTTTTATATTTCAGAATTGTATTTCCAGTGAGTTTGCATTTAAGAAAAGTTTAATCTTCGCTGTGTTGTCATACGGGGGCATCAGTGTTTTATAAACACATCTTGTTTTCTGATGCTTTGATTTTATACATGTACAATTTTGAAGTTATTAAAGGGAAGTCGATGTACATGTATATAAACTGCATTAGATGTTATGGAATGTAAATTTAGAATTATGCAATGACATGAAAATATCTACTTTAAAATCGACAGATTTGCAATACTTCTAATATTGATTGACTCTGATAGCCAAATTAGCTGCAAAACCAAATAGACTAGAAACCGGATCCCTTGATATAAACAACTGTTGCAGACCCAGGATTGTTAGGAAGGGTGATTTTTCTTTAAATAAAAAAAACTACTCTGTTTAACCCCCCACCAAAAAGACAAAACAAAACAAACAAACCGACAAAAAAAGGATTAAGGGTGATTTTTCTTTAATATATAAAAAAACTACTCTGTTTACACCCCCCCCCCCAAAAAAAACAAACAAACAAACAAACAAAAAAGAAGTACAAGTACCTTATTATGCAAAATGTTTGCATGTAAATATGCCAGGAAAATGATCAAGATTGCTATGAAATAAACCACATGTAGTTGTTATGTAATCAAATGGAAGTTATTTTAAGAAAAAGCACGTGGAGGAAGACGCGTTCTGAGTTTGCGCAGAGATGATAAACAAACATGGCCGCTTACAAGGCCAGGTTTGTTGACATTTAACGCCCATTTTTTATTTTCTTTCTCTCTCTTTATTTTATTTGGTATTTCTTTTTTGGTAGAATTAATATTTTCATTATGTTTTTTCCAGATTAAAAGCATTTGAAGACACCTTAAACAATGAGAAGATTGACTTAAAAACTTTGAGGAAGTTATGTTTCAATGGTAAGAGTTTGAAAATATTGTTCTACAATGTTGTTTTTGTTGTGTTATATTGAATAAGTTAAGGATAGCTATTCGAATTTCAAAAGTAGAAATAATAATTGCACACATGTAAAAGCACAACACGTGCTGTCAATAATATCACACCTAGCTGACCTCGGATGAAATTTGAAAATTGAGAAGCAGGTTATGTTATCACTATCAGTTACATGTGTAGGCCCTACATGTATTATTGTAATAAGTTAGATGTACACAATTTGTATGGCTATGAGAATGAGAATATATTGCAAACAAGCAATACATAATAATTATTAAACCTAGAGAATTAAGTTCTTTTTTTTTTTAGATGTTTAGAAGGGGACATATCAGAATTAATAAGGCCCTGTTATCAGAAACAAACTTTATCATTTGTCAAACAAAAATAATGGCTGGGCTTTTATATTTAAGTGCAGTAATTTATATTTAATATATTTTGAAAAGATAAATTACACATTTTATCATTGTTCTGTTTCATGCTAGATGTTAGAATGCCTGATAAAGACCATGAAGATTGATTTCAATTGTTTGACAAAAAAATTAAATCAGAAAATAAAATTGTGATTTGATTTAAATTTTAGGTTGTCCTTACGAACATGGGTACCGATCAACATGTTGGAAAGTGAGTAAATTTTGCAATGAAATATATATGTTGGAAATGTCAAATTCTGCCCTTAATTCAACGAAAAGAACATGATACATGTACATAGCATCATTGACCTTATGAAGATTTATAAGAGCTAGTCTTTAAGAACATGTATTTGACAAATGAAAACAATTTCCTGGTCTCCCTCTTGTTATTAAATGTAAACAAAACTAGTGCATGAGATATGCCAATTTTATAAGTTTAACATATTAAGAAATTCAAGATTTAAACAAGTCTGAGACCTTTATTTTTTTTAAATATTTTGCATGCAAGCTGCTACTTTAGGCCCAATGCCCTTCTGTTCTAAATTTCATAAAAAAGTTTAAACACTCTCGGTTTTCATCAACAACAAAAGCATGATTTATATGGAATAAGGTTTGAGGTATAAAGCCTGCATGGCTTTTTATTTTAAAAGTTTTCAAATTTAAACATGCCATAATTTTATGTGACACATTAAATAGAAGAATAATAATTTATGGATTATCACATCAGCATAAAATTAAAAATATGAGCTCTACTTTAAAGTAATTTTTAGTGTCATACATATTGAATTGATATTAGAAAATGTATTCAAGTGATACTTTTCATGTTGTTTATCATGTGTATGATCCATAAGCAAGAGTTATCTTTCTTTAATCTTTTTTCTCCCTTTTTTCCTAAGAAAAATATACTTCTTATAAAAATACTTTACATCGAATACTGTAACAGTAAATTATACAACTTCTTAGTTTTAAAAAGAAATACAAGAATTAATTTTAACTTGTATCAGGAGAATAATCTGGGTGCAAATGTTTAGGTTAGAAAAAATATATACATATTTATTAGCTTAAGTATTAGATATGTGCATGTAAATGTTTGGTAAATGTTTTGATAACCATGTACATGATGTAGGAATTTTTGCAATTAATCATGTAAAATGGCTAAATATATAACACCTATTGAAACCAATTTTTCATATTTTTGGATTAAATTGATTCCAATGTTATCTCGCTAATCAGCGGCACATTTAGATCTTAAAGTCAATCCTCAGTTTGTCAATGAAACATGCATTAATCACAGATGTTTTAGTATGACCAGTGCACTGCTACTTAATCAAGGAAGTAGGCAAAACAGAAGTTTAACTGTCTCAAATTCATAAGAAAATTATTCACTGATAATTTGATTAAGACAGAGACATTAAAATTAAGGAACAATACTTAAATATCTTTAAAAATCAGTGAATTTACAAGATACAAATTTTTGGTGTTACAGCAAAACTCACTTAAAGTTAAGTTCTGGGGACTTGGGAATTTACTTTGCTATATCCATAATTCTTTATATTCCGATAACAAAATCTCTAAAGTATGCATAGTAAATTCGTTATATCATTTTTTCCCTTTAAGCTTGACTACCAAATCATGCAATTGTATAAATTCAGGGAAGTTAAAATATAAAATTTATCTTGGAGTTTAAAAAGTTTTAGAATGAATTATGTCTCAAATATTGACACTTTCAAAATTATTATCAGACTGAGTTTAATATTTTAAAAAAGATCTTTAAAAATTGGCTATAAAAGATGTCAATTTTTAAAAAATATTTAACTTCTAAGAGACATAAAATCAGTTCACTATAGCCATATATTCACTATATCCAAGTTTGTTATTTTCATAAAATTTTACATGGAATAGTTAAGAATTTTTTAGGGGATTGCAAAAATACTTCACTATATCCGTAAATTTGGTATATCCATGTTTATACTAAACAAGTTTTACTGTATGATTTTGCATTATTTTTTTATTTTGCTATTTCCATGCTCAGATAATTTGATTTCATTACAGATTTTGCTGAACTATTTGCCTTTAGATGTATCACAATGGAAGGAAATCCTTCAGAAACAAAGGTAAGCAGCTTCTCACATCTCAAACAAAGTACAGTTATTATGCCTATATGGATTCATGCCTCTATTTATATCTATCATGATGTTTATAATTACTGGTTTTGATATACATGGCAATGCTATATGAAGAATAACCCCAATAACTGGTTTTAAATGCAACCATTGCTCAGTTTCCAAAAGAGTGGTAGTTAATGATGTAGAAATGTTCCTATAAGTGTTTTTTAAAAATATTTTTTTGAATCAGCTAAGCCATATGCTCACTTTGTTGATGAGAAGTGTTCATATAAAATGTTCAAAAATATTTTTTTGAATCAGGAAGCTGTATGCCCACTTTGTTGATGAAATTGTTCCTAAAAGTTTTTTTATTTAAGGAATGAAGCTTATTTCAAATTTTGTTATACAATATAACATAACTTTGGGCAGATTAAGCTGTATAAACCATGAAGCATATATCATTTAACAGAAGTTGAAATAAGCTCCATTCCTTATAATTTAATTTCAGTGTAGACAATGAGACAATTTTTCCTCCAGAAAAAGGCTACAAATTTTAGCATATTTTAAAGACCCTCTCTACACAAGTACAATTTTTGTTTTGGACATTGAGAAAAATATATTGTATAAAGGAGTTAATATTGTGCTTATTTATTTGATTTTCACTATATGGTGCGTGGCATTTACCCTCCTGGAAAAACGTTCAAAAACAACACAGTATCAGTGAATAAAAATCACTGTTAATTACTTCAATAGAGAAAATACATGTAAATAACACATTCACTTAATCTGTCTTGGCCTTTTAAAATGTTAAGAATACTTGAATTAATTACAAATTGGCAATATATTCTAAACAAGTTTTGAAAAATTTTACGGTTATAACAGAACTCTGATATAACGAATTTACGGATATAGTGAACTGATTTTGAGTTCCATTAAGGTAAATATAATGAAATTTACCTATCTTGATAACGAACTTTCATTGTGACAAAATTTGATAAATTAAAATGACCTTATTTTCTGTTAGCATTTAAAATTAAATTATATTGTTTTAAACAAAACCTTAGTTATCAAAGGTATGCTTTGTAACATTTGCTTCCCTAACATTATTGTAGTATTACTTGAAGGAAAACATGCATATTGCGAATTCGCTATATATAGTTATACGAATTCGTTATACGGATATAACGAATTACGGATATAGTGAATCAAATTCACAGGTCCCAAGGACTTCGCTATAACCGAGTTTTACTGTACATGTAAATAACACCTTCAGTTAAAATATCATGGCCTTTTAAAATGTTAAGAATACTTGAATTAATTACAAATTGAGTAATATATTGTAAAGTTTCAGCCAATCAGATTGCAGCGCACGTACATGCACGTGTATGCATGTGCATGGTGACTTATATTTCTTTGTAGAAGTCCATAAAATATATCTATCCATGTTAAAATCCCATCCTGTTTGGTTGGGGTATGACCAAGAGAGTTATGTATTCAAATCTACTATTAGATTGCAACGCACGTGCATGCACGCATTTTCATGATAATTGCTATATATCTTATTGTAGGATATCTTAATACATGCCTATGCTTAAAATTTCAAAAGATTTCGTCAAAAAACAAGAAAGATATTGAGACTTTAGTTTCAGCCAATCAGAGCAAAGCGCACGTGCATGCGCGTGAGATCTTGCTTTTTTGATTATGTATCTTGTCTATGCTTCTAATATATACTTTAATATATTGTTTTAAAGCATATCATCAATAATTTAAATAGTTGCTCCTATAATTTATTATATATTGCATTTCTCAAGTGTTGCACCACTTTGCAAGCACTCGTGTGCACATGCTTTAATGATATTGTTTTTAATACGGGCTGTAAGCTCCACTAATGTATGACTATGTTCAAAATTTATTATATATTTTATCAAAAACAAGAAAGATGTGTGAGACTATAATTTAATGATATTGTTTTGAAAGCGCACGTGCTTGCACTTTGCGATGAGCTATTTTGACCATGTCATCTTGTGCATACTACTCATATATCCTTACATTATGAGTTTCAAAACATTTCGTCTAAAAATAGAAAAGTTACGGTTATATCCATTATATATTGGTCATCTCAAGTTTTGCATGTGTGCGCTCTCTTGCAAGCACGTGCGCGCAAAATGACATTGATTCCGCAAATCTACATAACATGCCTACTTACCCTAAAGAGGTTTCACCTAAGTCGAATGTGTAGTTTACAAGATCACTCGCGGACAAAATTTTCCCAGGAAGAAAAATAATAATAAGAACTAGAGCAAAGCTCGTTGCAAAGCAACGAGTAGGTCTTCCATCCTGTTTGACCGGAAGTAGCTTTCATTTTTAAGAAAAAAATGAAAATAACGCCCCAAAATGGTTTGAATTCTCGAAATCCATGTTAATTAATGCAAAAATAAGCCATTTTTTGCTACTTCCGGTTTGACTGGAAGTGACGACGACGGACGAAAAATTAATTTTTTTGCTCCCAGAGACATACGTTACCCAAAAACTTGTCAAGAGCGGCAAAAATACGCGTTTTTCGATTACTTCCGGTTAGGCCAGAAGTGACAACGCCGGACGTATTTTGACGACTCCAATAGATTTAGCTTGATATTTTGATCAATTTTGCTTCTTTGATGTATTACAAATTCTCAATACGTTTTGAGATATAAAGAAAAAACTTTCGGCCCCTCTTGGCCCTTAATTTAAGGAGCCAGCCCTTTTTACAAGGTATGGTTTGAAAGATATTGGAATTCTACACTTCTTTTTTTCTATATATTGTAACAAAATATTTCCAGGTAAAAAGATATCGTAGAAAAGGTGACAAAATTTTTGAAAATCGCGATAGGACTATTTTCGGGCCATAACAAGCTTCCGTACACATCAATTTCGGCGAATATGAAATACGTTCCGCACAACTACATTTATTGCTCTATTATCACTGAAAATCTCAAGTTTCTATCTTAGGCCGTTTTCGAGAAAACTCGCGGACAAACTAACCCCCTAAAATTCACTAAAATGTAAAAATCTCGGAACCGGAAGTGACGTCATCAAAATAAAAACAAATATATGTTTAGATTTTTTCATGTTCCATCAGCCCTGAAAGTTTCATGAAAATCAAGCAAGCCGTTAACAAATGACATTGTTTCAACTAAATTTAAATTACATTGTTTTAAATCAGGAAGCTGTACGCATACTTTGTGGATGAAAAGTGTTCCTATAAGTTAATGATATTGTTTTGAATCAGGAAGTTGTAAGCCCACTTTGTAGATGAGATGTGCTCCTATAATTTATTATATATTGTATTGAATCAGGAAGCTGTATGCCCACTTTGTTGATAAGATGTGTTTTATTTAAGTTAATGAAGCTGTTTTAAATCAGGAAGCTGTAAACCCATTTTGTGGATAAGATATGTTCCTATAAGTTAATGATAATGGTTTTGAATCATGAAGCTGTATGCCCATTTTGTTGATGAGAAGTGTTCCTAAAAGTTGATGATATTGATTTGAATCAGGAAGCTGTATGCCCACTTTGTTGATGAGAAGTGTGCCTAAAAGTTTGATATTTTTTGAATCAGGAAGCTGTATGCCCACTTTGTTGATGAGAAATGTTCCTAAAAGTTGATGATATTGATTTGAATCAGGAAGCTGTATGCCCACTTTGTGGATTAGAAGTGTTCTTATAATTTAATGATGTATTTTTGAACACTTATCAGCTTCCTATTTTAAGTTTTGTTTTGTTTTAAATCAGGAAGCTGTATGTCCACTTTGTGGATTAGAAGTGTTCCTATAATTTAATGATGTATTTTTGAACACTTATCAGATTCCTATATTAAGTTTTTTTGGTTTTGTTTTAAATCAGGAAGCTGTATGCCCACTTTGTGGATTAGAAGTGTTCCTATAATTTAACGATGTATTTTCGAACACTTATCAGATTCCTATATTAAGTTTTTTTTTGTTTTGTTTTAAATCAGGAAGTTGTATGCCCACTTTGTGGATGAGATGATAGTGGAGCCCGGAATGAAGGCCTCAGCAGGACATCAGGTAGATGATCATGTAAGTATCTTGGAGATCCAGAAGTGAGTAGCATCCTATTAGTTTCACCTTGGACTAGTGGGCTAGCCATTAGTTCAGTGGTAGGGCAGAGAACTGGCATGCCAGAGGTTCTCGTTCATATTCATTCAGAGGCGTGAACCTGTCTCATATGCTATCTAGAACGTAGGACATTTTTGAAGAATTCACGTTGCAACTGTTGTTCACACTCAAAAATATTTTTTAAAAAAGTTCTTTGTTCTTTTCCTATATTGTTCCAATATAAAGTGTATATATAAAGAGTGAATATAATTAAAAAAATTTAAAAAATGGATATGTCAACAGTTTTTATAGACAAATATACAATATAGTACAATGAATTGACTCATTGTATATAAAGGAAATGAACAAAGGGAAATAACTATAAATTAAATGCTTGTAATTGATCCCTGATCTTATTTCATGTTTGAGAACAATGCACTTGATTTTACTTTATCCATGGCCAGTAGGGGATCAAAGTATAAGTAACATCCACTGAATACCGGTAACATTAAAAAAAACTTCATTTACTTGTACACACATGACTTTTACCTTTGTATTTTGGAGAGCATTTACAAAGGAAGTGAATTACTGATAATAAAATATTGTTTAAATAAATTAAAAAGGAAAATGCCACTGAATCACATCAAAAACAATATTTGCAAAATGTATAAATACCATGAGTTTTCCAATGCTCATGGAATATATAATGCTTTAAGAAAATCATCAGGCTATTAAAAACTCTGGTTAGTTAATGTCTGATTACCCTTGTTGATTATATGTTTTTCCTTTTCTCTCCACTCCTCAGCCCTTAAACCCCAACCCTGACAGTAATTGGGGAGCATTCTTCAAAGACAATGACATGCTACTACAGATTGATAAGGACTGTCGGTGAGTGTTCATAATTACATAATATGTATGTTTTGCTTATGCTAAAGGGATGTACGGCTTAAAGTTATTCAATAAAGAATTGTGATAATAAATAGTGATGATTGCATGGTTAAAAAAGTTAATGCATTTATGAAATTTACAAAAATAAGAACAACTTGAGACCATCACATTTATTTATTCCTTCTTACACCACTTAACAAAATACCCGTCTGTTTGAATTTAATGAAACTATATATTTTATATCATAAAGTTGCCCGCATGGCACAGTGGTTAGAGTGTCTGCTCTAGAGTTGCCAGATAAGGAGTTGATCCTTACATTGCGGGTTCGAATCCCACTGTGGGACATGAAGACCAGTCCTTTGGATGGGACTGTATGAACCGAGGTCCCGTGTCGCAGTAGGTGCTGGCACAAAAAAGATCCCTCCCTGCTCAATGGCCCTGAATGCCGAGTATAGGACAAAATTTGAAGCTCTCCACCAGCAAGTGGTGGCGTCTCCATGAAAAATCCCCGAGAGGGAAGTTAAACAATATACAATCAATCAATATATCATAATGAGAAATCTCATTCATAGAAGGACAGTAGGTTCCATATGAGAATATAAGTTCCATTTTATCTGTCAAAAGACTATGATTAACTGCATTAATAGGCACATGTTCTAATACCATATAAAGGGAGATTTGAACACAGTCTTTATGTACAAGTGGAAAATCACTTTATTCATTTTACTGGCATTTTTAACAATGTTGATATATATTTGTATGCATGTTCAATGGTATGGACCATGAATGTCAGCCTGAATGGCTCAGTCAGTAGAGCACCTGCAGGAGTCCCCCGTTTGATTTCCAGTCTGGATCAGACATTCATCTCCTGTTACTTATTTGCATTATCTTAATTGAAAACAAAAACAGTAAAACTCGTTTAGTACGAACACAGATATTGCGGATTCATGGATATAGCGAAGTTATGTTGGATCCCCAGCTATGTAATTTTAATGAATTCCTTATATGGATATAACAAATTACGGTTATAGTTAAGTTATTTCATAGGTCCCATTGACTTTGCATTAACCGAGTTTTACTGTATAAAGAAGATGCCCACTATTGTCAGATCTTTACCTGTACAAAACAGTGAAGATGAACACCACTGTTAGATCCATAGCTATACAAAATGATAAATGCAACCGCCACCTTTAAATCTCTAGCTATACAAAACAATAAAGGTGACTGCCACTGTGAAGTAAATCATGGTGTAACAGGCCAGACAAAATCTATCTATAACGTGGGCTAAGTGGACCCATTCATGGATTACTTTTTCCAAGTCTTTCAGATTGTCGTGATTTTTGTCTTTGTTCTTCTCAGCCTCAACAAAAACACTTGAAAGGGATTCTCTTCTTGAAATATGCCCATTGTCACCATTCTTTAGTGAGAGCGGAATTGACAAAACACTGCTTTCCTCTGGTATGTCTTCATGCATCTGTTTCTGAATTTTCTTGCTTGCAAAGGACTCTCTTCGCCTCAATGCATCCTTCAGGTACACACTAGACATTCTCCTTTCTCTCACTTCACTAAATACTGCAGAAACGTTGATGTCTTTGGAGACGCATTCTTCATAATTTACACAGAAGACATCAGAGAGGACGTTAAGAAAGATTTTTCGAAGAATTTTGGGGACGGCCTTTCCTGACAGTCGTTTGTAGTAGGTAAAGAGAACCAGTCCTGCCATGATGCAGGCGACACAGACTAGTATCATTGACGCTGTGAAGAAATAAGCAATGACCGGAAACGTGTCTGATGACGACGGAAGCTTGTCCTGAATAAGAAGCAGGAAGACTGTGATGGAGAGGAGAACTGTGATTTGTAGCGAAATCTTCTCGCTGCAAGATGGCGGGAGACAGAAGCCAATGAAGGCCAAGCTAGTGACGAGAATACACGGGAAAATGATAGTGATTATGTAAAACTTAGGTTCTCGCTTGATCACCAACTGAAATGACACCTTGGAGTAAGGATAGGCACAGCAGTTGTAGTAACTGACGAGTCGATTCGATTCCATGGAGATAAGCCGCCATTCATTGTGGTTCAGAAAGGCAGACGTGTCTGCCGAGGCTGAAGACTGATACACTCCCAGGTGCTTCATAGAATGAATCCACGACCCGAAGGTCAGACTGCATCTCTGAATATCAAAAGGGAAGTAGGTGACATCAATGGAACAGGCTGTGGTGACGGTGGACGGGAAATTATATTGGACCTGTCCATCAGACGATATAGCCGCTCTGTAGTCTTTGACCTGTGGCATACTCCCAAACTCGCTGGTCCCTTCGTACAGAGTGATGTCTGGAATCCAGATCTTCTCATAAGGAACGTGGATAAGATCAACGTCGTCAAAAAGTGAGGAATTCCATTGAAGGTTGCAGTCTCTCCAATTAAAACGAACCCAGATTTTCAGCTTCAGCGTTTGGAATTTTTCGTTGATTTCGACTACTTCACGGAGAGCCGTACTAATGGTTATATTCACTGTTTCACCCTTGTCACAAATTGGGAGAATATCGGAACTGTAATTTCCACTGAAAAGCTTATCATATAGTCCCTTTGTAATGATGTAATTATCATTACCACGAACACATTCTACGTTAACGATGTTCAAAATGAGAAAAGATGTTAGTCGAAGGAAAACCATGGTCTAAGGAGCGCACGCGGGCCTTGAAGTGTTTAAATGAACACTAAATCCCTTTAGTTTCATACTGTGACAATATTTCTGGATTTTTCAATAAATCTTAACTCGATAATAATTAATTCATAATATCCCTCTCTGTGAAGAGGCTGTTAATTTGCTATGAACCTAATTCAGTGGATGTTTACTTGATTCTGAATTATTTGATGTATCGATTCTTCCAAACAGTAAAAAAATACTCGCTTTAATATTATAGTCCGACTGAATAATGATTTCTTTGCCTCTGGGACCCTTCTTTGATACAATTCAGCACGTCCAGATGACCCCATACATTATGTATGACAGCACTGTTGGTTGATTTGCAATATTGTAATTTTGATTTCAGTCCTTTATAACGCGGGGTAAAGGTGGGGTGAAAGGGGTCCTCCCCTTTTTGTGAGTTTAGTCTTTAACTGTAGTATTTGTATGTCATCTTTCATTTAAAAAATTGTGGTTGCTCGTTCGCTTTTTAATACTGTACGATTTAACACAGAACAGAAACAATAATAACAAAATCTAAGGGTAAGGTCAACGATCAACGTAATCCCCCCCCCCCCCCCCCCCCCCCCCCCCCCCCCCCCCCCCCCCCCCCCCCCGCCCCGCGAAAGTTTAAACGGTTTAAGCCAATTTGAAAATCGTTTCATCATCGGGTAGGAGACTTTAAGGAACGTACATGTCCATGTATTTCACTATTGTTAGGATGAGTATGGTTGGTATTAGAAAGAAAATTAAAAAAACGGTTTTAAAATTTGCCTCTTGTACAGAATGTTATATTTAAATATATTAAATGCTGAAAAATAATTAGTTTCTTTTCTGATAAATAAATGTATCATTTTATCATAAACTATCATATCCGAGGTCAATTTTCATAACTTTTTCAGGAGATTAAGTTGCACATTTTAACACAATTTTGCAAAAGCTGTTTTTTTCTGGTTCATTTTTATTCAACAGTCGGTTTTGTCTAGATTTAGATTTATTTTCGGCTTAACCGGACCTGTTTTTGTTTTTTTCGTTTTTAGTCGTCTATGTCCGGATCTGTTTTTCTTCCAAAAGGCGACAGACTTTCCCTGTAAGGAGATAATACACGCGGACTCTCGGGTCGAAACTCTCAGGAAGAGGGTGGAACACTGTGTCCTCCAATCAGAAAGCCTGCAGGTGGACAGGTTCGGCAAGTCTAATGTACGTGGAAAACCCTTATAAAAGTAGAATTTTATTTTAAGAATTAAAATGTATGAAAAGATGGTAAAGCATGCTTTGTTTTAAAATTTTACCTGGAAGAAATGCTTGGTTCGAGATTATTCAAATCTACAATTAGTCTAATAGTGGCTTCAAAGGCAATCTTTATTTAAATTCGCAAATGCCCTTAAAAAGTTCATCAAACTGCAAAAATTAAAATGATAGCGACGAGAAGAAATTAATTGCTGAAAAGTGAGGAGTACATGGTTTTAAAATTAAAGTTAAAAGGCACACTATGGGAGGTGCATAAATTGTTATGAGAAAAAAATTAAATTGATTTAAATGAAACTTAACCCTGATCATTGCACTAGGGATAAAATCAAAATCATTTTGTTTTATCTTAAATCCTTTACAAAATATATTTTATGTGAGTCATAAAACACTTATCTTTATGTAAGGGTAAATAATTTAATGAGATATCTGCATGTATTTACCATAAATAAAAGTAGGAAAAAAATCGTTTTTGAGAGCAGAGGCCAAAACAGATAAGATTATGAAGATTTATTTAGGGGCTGTCTGGAAAATTTCAACTGATTGGGAATTTTATTAAATACAAGTGAAAATAATGTTCTTGTCATTGTTGCTGCTTGCATTGCGTATGTAGTTATGTTTTTTACTAGCCCGACGTGCTACCTCCTTGCAGAAAACACCTAGCCTTCCCCAAAAATGAATGCTTGTTTTTATTGTTTGTTAATACATAATAAAGAATATTTATATGATAAAAAGTACAAACAAACATACTTTTTACATTTAGTAGTAGTTTTTATATATAAAATAGAAAGAAAAATTGAAAAAAAAGTGTACGCGCGCGCGTAATTTATTTTTTTAATATTATAATTTTGATTTGTTAGTGAAATGAGCATCGGACTGCTACGGTGAGGGTACTATATTAGAAATTGGTATGGCCAAAAGTGAATTTTATTTTAAGAATTAAAATGTATGAAAAGTGAAACTAACCTTTAAAATTTTTCAAAACTCTTCTCTAAAATTTTCTACAGTTATTTCCTTGGTAGAGGCACTTTATTTAAAGGAGAATTAGCCATAACAAATTTCGTTTTCAATGTAATGATAGCGACGAGGAGGAAGGCTCTCCATTCCTTAAAAGTAATGGAGCGCTCAAAGAAAAGAATGACGTCACAGGTGGATTTTACTTATATTAAACTTAACCCTGGACAGGGATACGCACAGTTTAGGTATTCCTTTACACCAGAATCTAGGGTACTCTTTATTTACTCTTTATTTATACGCTAACCTTACCCCGGGCCAAGGATACGTACAGGTTAGATATTCCTTTATTTATACGCTAACCTTACCGCGGGCTAAGGATACGTACAGGTTAGATATTCCTTCACACCAAAATCTAGGATACTCTTTATTATACGCGAACCTTACCGCGGGACAGGATACGTGTAGGTTACTAGGATATTCTCTATTTATGCGAAACTTAACCCTGGCCAGGGATACGTGCAGGATGGCTATTTTCTTCACACCAGAATCTAGGATTGCTCTACTTTATCTTATTTTTAAAATTTAGGGTCTTCTAATATATATTTTCATTATAGTTTTAAATGCTAGTAAATGTAGTTTGCCATATAGATGTCGATATGTTGACTGTATTTCAGGGCATGAATGAGATTTTAGGACCCATTTATTACACATTTGCTTCCGATCCAAGGAACGAGTGGAAAGGTAAGTAAAAGGGAAAAAAATTCTGAAAACTATCCTTTGTTGGTTCTCAAAAACTTCATGTATGTTCACTCATTATTTACGCATACGCACTTAATGAAACTATAAATAAATCTTAATCTTTAGTAAGTAATCATTTATTATAGTGACATTGTGCATATAGACATTTCAATAAACATTGTAAACAAAATACGTCAAACTGAATCTGCACCCGGCCCATTGGACCTATAAGTCATTTTTTCCATTAATCACATTAATATAAATTTACACATGCAAAAGATTCTTTCTGTGGTTAAATGCTGTATGGACAAGTTTGGCTAATTTTATCTTGTAATTTTGATTTAAAATTTTAAACAAATAATCATTATCAATTCTATTAGGTTGCTCCTTGTACATATTATCAAAATATTTTTTCCTAACATTATTATACAATTGACAGTCCAATAAGAAATGTTTTTCGTCTTCAACAGAGGAACTAGAACAGAAAACACAAGTTCTTTCACTTAGGGGTTCATTTTTATATCGACCGGTTTCATTGCGTAAGGGAAGCACTACACATCTGAACTGTGCCAAGGTTGACCTTTCTATTTTTGAAATATTAGGTGTAACATAAGGTTCGGTTTCACAATTAACTTTGAAGGAAATTCATGTCCTTAATTTTGGTGATGATTGTATTTTCACTTTCCATTCATTTTCAGCATATTGACGAAGTGTACATGTAATCTTTAAGTTGGAGGTGTTATACAGTATGCATTGCATTTAAATGCGAATGTCACTTTCCTTACCGCAATATTTTTTTTTCGAAACCAAAGAAATTTCAGTTTTCCAATGCGAACCGTGTTTAATTATAGACTGTACATTTGAAATATGCATGTGAAAGGGAAAATTTGCTTTTCTTTTTTGTTTTGGTTCACAACAAAACTCAAGAAATACAATCACTTTATAAGTTTGATCATTAACGGACATTTAGATTATATTTTCGGACAGTTCTTATGCTCTGGTCATTCTTGTTTTTGCAGAATTCGCGGAAGCTGACTCCTTTTTCTGCTTTACAAATTTAATGGCAGAAATACGTGATATTTTTATCAAGACACTAGATCTTGATGCGGAATGTGGAATTGGTAAGTTAGATTATTCTTTGGAAATTTCTCTGAATAAACTAGAATTCATGTTATAGTCCATTGTTTACAGGATATTTGTAGACGTTAATTAATTCTGGGTTTGACGTACTTGAGTTGACGAGCGCCATTGGGCAGTTGTGAAATATTGACCATCTAGTCTCTGAAGAATTGAGCTTTTATTGCAGATTTAGTGAGACAGTCCTCAAGGAATGGTTGTGCATGCAAATTTAATGAGAGACAGTTATAAAACTGACTCATATTTTAATATCTGTTGAAGGGCAAAAATTGAGCAGTATATTATAAAATGTAGTATTGTACATATACATGTATGTTCGTCTGTTTGATTGGTCCTCTTGTACAAGTAAATTGCACGATATTAATTGGGTATTGGTACATGTAATGCTACTATAAAATCAGTTAAGTACAGTATTTGTGCAGTGGAAAGTATATTCAAGTTATCTAAATTTTCAGATTTGATCGAGGGCTTAGGCATATTAACTGACACTCAAAACTCAATTACTAGATTAAAAATATAGCCAAATTATATTATGTTAAATTTTATAGATGCAACATTTATCTACTACATCATCAGATCTATTGACAAACGAAAGTAAATTGTTTATCTTAAAAGATGAGGTAACATTGATTTCATTGAATTCAAGAAAAAAAGTATAAATAAAAACATAAGGTTTACAACAAATTGGTAATCGAACAATACGTACGAAAATGCTCATTTAGAGTGGGATCTGGAGCAACGATACAAGAACTTAAATGTATCTGTAAATTAATCAGTGATACATCGTACTGAAGCATATAGAAAGTATTTCTATTGTGGCCACTAAAGGTTGAGTCTAACAAATCTTTAAGACAAAAGATGCTAGATGCTTTATGTTTTTGACCTTAAAATGTTGATTTTTTTTATGCTTTTTTAGGCAGTATGATGGCCAAGTTTTCTAAGAAACTGAAGGATAAGGACGAATTTCTGTATAACAGAATCCAGGAACTGGACCTTAAGCCTCAGTACTACGCCTTCCGCTGGCTGACCCTCCTCCTGTCTCAGGAATTCCCATTACCAGGTATAAAAAATTAATATCCTACCAGGTATAAATACATTATATCTTACGAAGTTTAAATACCTGTCTCTATGTCTAATCAGGTATAAATATTTTATATCTTACGAAGTTTAAATACCTGTCTCTATAAATATTTTATATCCTGCAAGACTTAAATCCCGTCTCTATATATAACCAGGTAAAAGCACCTGTGTCTAAAGCTTTTAGGTAATAACACACATTATATTTATTATACTATATCGCCCTTTTATATAGATGTTAGGAATTTCATATTGTGGAATGAAAGAAAAGTTCTTAATGACTTCATTATTAGCAGTATTCACTGTATATTCAGTTCAGTAGAGAATATTTATCATTGTTGTCATTTTTATTCTGTAACCATCTATATTATACGCACATATCATTATTTCATACATGTACCAAGAAAAAAATGTTTAATTATTTTATAGATGTCAAAATTTGTCCGTTGTCTGTCGTTGTCGTTGTCTTCGTAAACTTTTCACATTTTCATCTGTCCGTCCGTCTGTAAACTTTTCACATTTTTGACTTCGACTCAAGAACCACTGGGCCAATTTCAACCAAACTTGGTACAAAGTTTCCTTGGGTGAAGGGGATTTAAGATGAAGGGCCTGCATTTGAATTTGTTAAAAATTAATGGCATTTTTAAAAAATCTTCTTCTCCAGAACCGCTGGGCCAGGAAAGATGAAACTCATGTGGAATCATCCTCAGGTAGTGTAGATTCAAGTTTGTTTATCAGAAACCAAGTTTTACATAGGAATATATATGCAAAAATCTTTAAAAATCTTCTTCTCCAGAACCACTGGGCCAGGAAAGATGAAACTCATGTGGAATCACAAACAAACCGGGGCTAGGGTGGGGCCAAAAAAAAATAAATATATAGGAAAAATCTTTAAAAATCTTCTTCTCCAGAAAGAAAGATGAAACTCATGTGGAAATTGTCAACAAATCATGAAAAGGCCATTGACCCAAGTTTTACATAGGAATATATAGGAAAAATCTTTAAAAATCTTCTTCTCCAGAACCACTGGGCCAGGAAAAACTCATGTGGAATCATCCTCAGGTAGTGTAGATTCAAGTTTGTTCAAATCATGACCCCGAGGCAAGGGTGGAGCCAAAATAGTTTTACATAGGAATATACATGAAAAATCTTTAAAAATCTTCTTCTCCAGAACCACTGGGCCAGGAAAGATGAAACTTATGTGGAATCATCCTCAGGTAGTGTAGATTCAAGTTTGTTCCATGACCCCCGGGGCAAGAACCAAAGTTTTACATAGGAATATATAGGAAAAATCTTCCAAATTTGAACAAAAGCCATGACCCCCGGGGCAAGGGTGGAGCCAAAATGGCCGACCCTAGTTTTACATAGGAATATATAGGAAAAATCTTCTTCTCCAGAACCAATTTTATATAAGTTTGATTATAGTTTTACATAGGGATATATAGGGAAAAAAATAATTGTCTGGAATCATCCTCAGGTAGTTATTCTATTTTCAAATTGTTTAGAATTCAAGCCCGATGTGCTCAGAGCGCTGTTGGGCCTCTTGTTTTATAGATGTACTTCGTATATGGGACTCCTTGTTTGCTGATGAAAACAGATTCAATTTCCTCATCTGCATTTGTTGTGCCATGCTTATGTAAGATGTCAGTTTTACAGAAATAATAATTAAAAAAAAGGAAAATGAAATTGTTTGAAAACACATAAGAAAATCCTGTTTTAGATTATTTGGAAGTGTACATATATAGACATTGTTTTAAGCTTTTTTAAACCCCCTGACATAGAATTTTGTAAAAGAACGCAAATTTGAACAAAATCCTGCTGATATATGTACTTTTCGGTTACCCCGAACAATTTTGTAAAAGGAATATAACGATCAAGAAAAAAATAATTGTTTTGTACTTTCTATTTTCACTTGTTTAAAATTGACAGAATTTCTTAGAGCTCACAGCTTTTTTCCTCCTGTTGAAAAATGTCTGCCCTTAAATAATTAAAAAAAAAAATGAAAATGTTTCTTAACCTTTCCTAAACACACTCTTCTTGAAAAACAAATGGTAGTGCTGTAGACGATTTTTCATGTTATTTAGGAGTGTCAGGAATGATATTATCAACGAAGATTTCCCCACGGTGATGAAATTAGTGCAGGTAAATCTACTAATTAGTACATGCACAGGTAAACAAGTCAGAGATAACTGCAGTTATAACAGATATGTACTTGTAAATATCAGCCTTTTTGACTGTGTCTAACGTTTGTTATGTACATGCACATAGACAAGCTGAAATCTCTTTCTTTAGAACTTCCAGTTGTCTAAAATCGATCTCCAATTGGTGCTGGCCAAGGCAGTAGACATCAGATAGCAGAAAACACCCAAATGTACGTATACATCTGTTCATTATTTAGGAATACGTATAGAAGAAAGGTCTTTTGGAGCAAAAGTTACAAAGTTGAATTATTACATTATTAAGATTTAAAAGCATTGAACTTTATTTGTGTGATCAACTGCCATATTGTCCCGAAAACATAGGCTAAGTTTTTTTTACAGTAAGTATCAATACGTGCGGTGCTGACATTACATATTAGCACGTGACTAACATCGTGAAATTGCTTCTTACAATCACGTTGCTTCACAAGTCTTACTAATTGATAAGTTATTTTTTTTAAAAAACTCACAAAATATTTGACTTAAGCATGTTCATACTTAATATACCCTTTGCCATGATACTTAAAATTAAGTATTATCTAAAGCGTTTGCAGGGGAAATGACTTAAGATATTATTTAGTTTACTTATGGTTTATGCAGCATAGCTTCTTGTTTCTCTCTGTAGCTTTATGTGCAATCGCCTCGATATTTGCTGGAAAAGGAAAGGAGGAAGGACCATCCTTTCATGTTTGGAAAACAGAGACTGCTCCTTTGTCCATCAAAACCTGTCTTTCATGGCATTTCTATTTTTACATGATCAACAAGTGTGTGTTGCGGGTTGTCATTAACTTGAACACATTGTATACTCGTGTATTTTTGATACAATGGTTGCTAAATTGTTTTTGTTTATAAATTGTTGTTTTATATAAATAAAGCAATATACATTCCTAAGTTTTGTATATCTCTTTTTTCCGAAAGTAACTTCTCACTATTCCAATATCCTTTATCAAAACCGACAACAACCGTTTAAGGACGAGTGTTAAGAAGGATATGGAGATAACTAACAGTATTCAGTCTCAAATCCGTAAAACAATACAAATTAGGAGCAGAGCAAACACGGACGAAACACCTGCCGAACCGGTCACATCAGAGGTAACGGGTCAATTCAGTGTATAAATAATGGGTGCCATGGATGATAAATTGTGAACATCAAATTCACAAAAATGAGATAATCATAGTTTCACAATTGATAAACTAGGTTTATCGGTTGTAAACGGTCACACCCGCATCTGCGTGCTTCTTGTCACAACTGTAAAAATAACGAAAAAATCCTTGCGATTGCAAAAATTCAGTGTATAAATAATGGACTTACAATTAGTTTGAAAAACATAAGATCTGATAAATATAGTTTCACATTTGACTTGAAATGATAAATTGTATTTGCTGACAAGGTCATATTTATCAACAAAATCATTGTTAACGCTTATTACAGACAGATAAACAGATGACTTTAAACTATAGTTAACAACCGTTAAATATTTTTGTTTCATCAACTTGCTTGTCGGTATGTAAATAATTTACCTCGTTTATTTTACTGTGAAATTGTTCATACGTCATTTTAGACCAGAACTTATGAAATAATAACTTTAAACGAGACTGCTGATATTCTTGTTTTATCAACTTGCTTGTCAATAATTTACATCGTTTTAGAAATATATATACTTCGTATGCAGGTGAAATTGTATGTTTTGAGGATAACAAATATAAATTATATATAGTTATAAATTTAAATTAATGTTGCATGTATCAGTTCTTTGAATTACTAAGTAATATACCCCAATACCCCCAAATAGATAAATATGTATAGCGTCCTTCATGCGCTATTGGCGTGGAGTGAAATTTTATTGATGGACTCGTTTACTTAACAAATCAAGAAGTAAACTAAGTAAATCTAGAAATCATAGAGGTTTTATGTTTGAGAAGTTCACTACGATCTTTTAAATATAAATATGATCTAAAATATTAAAAGAGCTCTATATTTGGAAACTTCAATCAGTTTAGTTCCATTGAGTAGTAATTTTAAATGCCGACAAATGTAAAATTATCAAATTTCATTTGTACTCAATGCTTTCTCAAAAAATTTTCAGAACAATAGATAAACGTAATCGGTTGATTGCCTCAGAAACAATAGATTGTCAGTAAGATTATTGGTGTTTAAATATATAAAATCTCGATGATCGAATGCTTAATATACCGTACTTATTTAAGATGACCAGAACTAGAAATATTTACCTTTGGATATTTGGCATTCAGATCTTGATAGACACATCAGGTAAGTTATAAATATAATATCAATATTCTGATCTTACAGATTTACTTATCATCTATTATATATTGTAATTTTCTATGGTATGAAGCAACTTTCATTTGTAGTAGTTTTTCTGTGCTAAATTGAATCGTTAACTTTCAAAAGCTGTATTTTTTGCTTATAATATTTCACAGAATCGAACCCTATAGTTGAAGGAAGTCAGAGTTATAGATCGTGTTCCTCTAACCGGTTCCTGACATTCACAAGCGCCTCGTATTACTACAACAGCTGTTCCTGGAACGCCAAAAACAAATTAAATAGTAACTGTAACTATCCCACGTCCTGTACTATCCACGCCTCTAACACCTGGTTAGGACATGATCCGTGTGTAGGAAATGTCAAATACCTCTCCTGGACAGAAACATGCACAGGTAACACCTTTCTTGAAAAATTGAATTTTTTCTCAGTTTTGTGGATTTCAAAAACAAAATTAAACAATCAACATCTTTCTTAATTTTAGAGACACAAATAAATACAGTCAAAACTTAAAATATAAGAAAACAATTTGGCCATTTTGTCTGACTATTTTTATTAAACATATGGAGGAGTGAGCTTCCCCAGTCGGCTGTTTAAACCCTGTTCTGCTCCTCGTCATGAAATCTCGGGTAAACGGAATTTTTTTCTAGATAATATTGTGTGTAAATCGTGGTGTAATGATAAGTAACAAAAAACATTAGTCAACAGTCGACTTCATAAAACATTGTATTTGCTGAAATGGCCATTGTGTCAATCACAGAACTTTCGAGACGGTTAATATCTTTGATTCATTAACCTGTCTATCAAAAGTTTGCAAGTTTTTAGATATTGTTTGTAATATAGCATCTTTTGCGTTTTGAATCAACTGGAGTACATGAACCCCCGATGCAGATGAGAAGGGTATATTGCAACATAAGTAAGGGAAATTGACAATTGTCAAGTCATCACGTTTGTCTTAAAGTTTTGCTGTTATGTTACCATTAATGACCTATGAGTAGAATATACAAATATGAAACAAATGTGTCAGACATTCTAGTATTTTGGATTGCTGTGCTCAAACATTGTTAATTATATCTAAATGTTGAAATTGAATAACGTACTACATGTAATTTCTTTTATGTTTTATCCTTTATCAATATATGGTATAAATGATGTTTTTCATGGCTTATTTTCTTTTACTTTAGATCGATACTTTTTGCACCATAGATTTACATTAACTTTTGTATTTCGTGTGACTCTATATAGATATCTGGACATCGTGGACTTCTTGGAGTTGTCCCAGCTCCTGTACCACACAGACACTGACAAGGTCAAGGTCGTGTAACAGACCCAGTGGATGTTCCGGCTCCTCCAGCCAGTCTAGCAGCTGTCTGTCTCTTGGATGCCCCCGTGAGTATCCAATTAACAAACCTCAATATCTAATTGCCTTCAGGTTAAAACAGAGGTTTATTGTCCATTTTTAAAGTTTTGTTTCTTAGGGTCTCGCATCAAAATTCGGGTGACTTATACAGTGACTAGTAATGGAATCCTATTGTCCGTCTGTCAAGGTGTCTGTCTGCCTGTCTGTCCATCTCTCAACAATTATATGTAATACAACATCTAGAGTACTTTTCCATAGTATGGTGGCATATTTTTGCCCCTACATGCAAGATAAGTTATTTCTGCAAGTAAATTATGTTAATATGCAAGATACTTATGTTAACATGTGAGATAATTATGTAGACATGCAAGATATTTATGTTCACATGCAAGATAATTATGTTAACATGCTGCTTATTTATGTCAACATGCGACTTACTAGTATTCATGTCAACATGCAAGCTCTATTTTTACATACAAGATATTTATGTAACATGCAAGATAATAAGTTGCATATCAACTTACATATCTTGCATGTTAACATAATTATCTTGCATGTCAACATAATTAAGGCGCATGTTTACAAAATTATATCGCATGTTGACATAAATAAGTCGCATGTTGACATAATTATCTTGCATGTTGACATAAATAAGTCATATGTCGACATAATTATCTTGCATTTTGCATATAAAATATCAGATACAGGCGTAAGTAAGTAAATTTACCCAGATTTAAATCATATTTTCTTGTAAGATTGGTAACTTGCATGTCAACATAATTTATTTGCATGTTGACATAAATATGTTGCATGTCTACATAATTATGTTGCATGTTAACATTACTTATCTTGCATGTAGGGGGCAGAAATATGCAACCATACTTTTCACCCTTCTGACTTTAAAATTACTACGCAAGTATCGAAAAAAGCAGTACACCGTTTTACAGATCATATGTTTGAAGACCAAGGTAAAAAACAATATAATTATAACCATATAACATTTTTAATGATATCTTCTTATAAAAATCGGATTTCTTGGAATAAATATATAGCTGGAAAACTTAAAAAGAAAAAAAAAACAACATCTAAAGATTTTTTACTTAGTCAGAAGTCAAATTGATAAAACACCTTAATGTGAAAACTTGTTGTAACTTACAATTAAGCGCCGATTTCTTGAAAACAATGGCAAGCGTTTTGTGTGATATTAAAAATAAGTGAACCGTTTTTATACGCGGAATTAAATTGATAAATGAAATAATCCCATTTATTAGTATACTAATGTTATTTTACTTTGCTCACAATTCATATTTCTCGATGTTGTATTGACTGAATTGACGGAAACTCAAAATTCTTATTCCAATCTACAGTACAAAATATCTTTTTGTGTCTATGTACTACTGTAGGACATGGTGAGTGGGGTGAGTGGGACACATGGAACTCCTGTACTGTGACGTGTGGCGGCGGTACTAGAGTACGGTCAAGAGAGTGTAACAACCCTTCTCCCTTAAATGGTGGTAACAACTGCGGATATCCCGGCCCATATACAAGCACAGAGACCATCAGTTGTAACACCTTAGACTGTTTCCGTAAGTAAAGCATCGTTAAAATGAAATATATTGAAATAACGAACAGTATTCAAAATCTAAAATCCATAAAACAATACAAATAGGAGCGGGGTAAACACAGACCTCTAAGACATCAGAGGTGGGATAAGGCACTCGGAGTTCCTCGGATGACTCGTACCTCGCACATAACCTCGGACGTCAACGGTGATCTACCATCTTGCTGATTCAGTCATGTGATCTTATTTGAATTTCTTTCAAATGTCATACATTTGAAATCGGAGTTATTTTGTGGCACACTCAACAGTTTTTTCTTGCTTTCAAAGCCTGTTAACATGAGGATGTAATCAAAACCTGTTTATGATAAAGAATTGCATAAATTAAGAAACATTTTCGAAGAACGTTATGCAGAGCGAAATATGAAATGAGTGATAAGGCAGTTTCCGGCGGAGAAATGTAAGGATTTGTTGCGTATTCCTCCACCAATCACATCCGAGGTTTGAATGGAGCGGAGCGGAGTCAGCCGAGGATTGCCGATTGGGGATAAGGTGCCATGGAGGATGTTTTATTAATTTAAATTAAATACTCAAATACGCGTATTTT